AACTTTGATGCTGGTTTGGGAAGGGGGAGGAGGGAGAATGATGGACAGGGTAACTGATCAAGATGCACTGTGTACATAAATGGAAATCATTAAATGAAACACTCTTGTACAACTAATTGTTAGAGCAATGGATAACAATGATGTTTTGGTGGAACTGGGATTTGAATTCAGGGACTTGTAATTGTTAGGCAGGTGTTCAACTACTTTTTGCCTTATTTTTGCAATAGGATCTTCAGTTTATGCCTAGAGCTGGCCTCAAACCACAATTCTCCCAAGTAAGGTATAGGCCATCATGCTCAGCATAGAATTGTTCCCCAGACATCACATCACCTGGGAACTTGTTAGCAATGCAAAACTCAGGTCCTGCCCCAGACCTACACAATCAGAAACTCTGAGCCTGGGGTCCAGCAAAGAACATTTTAGCAAAATCTCCAGGTGATGATGCAATGTATGAGAACCATAACCTTAGTGTTAAGTATTAACTGCAATCAAAAAACAAAGGTCTAGCTGGACACCAGTGGCTCACACCTGTAATCCTAGCTACTCAGGAGGCTGAGATCTGAGGATTGAGGTTCAAAGCCAGCCCAGGCAGGAAAGTTATCTCCAATAACCACTAGAAAACTGGAAGTGGCGCTGTGGCTCAAGTGGTAGAGTGCTAGCCTTGAGCTGAAGAGCGCAAGGACGGCGCCCAAGCCGAGTTCAAGCCCCACAACTGACAAAAACCAAAAACAAAGGTCTGACAAGAAACAAAATCTAACTTTGACAGTCTGAGACTGGAAATTTTACTACAAACCACCATGATCTTCTATTTTGCTTTGTGTACTTTAAACCTTTGTACACTAGAGACTTACTCTTCTATAAGGGGATCAAATTTGTTGGTTAGAATGCAGTTACAAAGGAGAGAAAATGGAATGGAGAAGATAACTGCATAATTATTCCCTCCTATGCATTTTATAGGTTTCTAAATAAGTAATATGGAAAAAAGGATATTTTATAGGTGCTGGATTTCCTATAAATTCATTAACACTATAATAAGTAAAGAATGAGTGCCTGGGAAAGAGCTGTATTTTTCTTGAGATTCATTTGCAGATCAAGAAATTGGGGTTGACACATGAAATAGGTGAGTTATTTTTTCCATTATGTAGGAATATCTTTTGACTTAAAGAGATGGGAAATATAATGGAAAATTTTAAGCACATCCTGATGAACTTGCTTACTGCATAAACAGATTTGATGATTAAGCTTAAAAATGTTTTTCATTGGTGGAGGGTACTTTGTCTTTTCATAAGTACTTCTCTTCCAACAAAAAGTACTCTCTAATACAATGGCAATTTAGTCAGCATTAGGAACAAGAGGACTTTATTCTACTTACTTAACTAAAAGTCATCTCTCTTTACATATCTGAGCTATTATTATTTTTAACCATCTCTACTGGGAGAGTTTCACAAATGTGCTATATACATCTTCCTTTTATTTGATACTTAGGACCAATGGTATAATCTTCCATAACTGAACATGGAGACTAAAGATAAATACAAGACTTTCAGTTCTTGTTCGGGTCTTGTCTATTACTGGCAGCTGCCTGTATTCTGTTGAGTGCTGCATCATTTTCTAATCTAATGTGCTAAACACCCCCCCCCCCCCCACACACACACATACACACACACAAAGCTGACTAGAAGTTTACTTAAAATATAATAAATGATTCTAGGTGAGAATCTTTTCATAGGGAGGATTGTATACATTTTCCTTTACATTTGATTTCGGAAATGTGTTCAGTATTTATCTGGCCTGTAAGATTAACTATAATGTGTAACACTGTTCATATAATTAAAAAAAATGAAAGAGAAACACTTCCATTAAGCACTCAATATGAGTGATTATTTAAACTCAATCTTACATTGAATGATTCTGATAAAGGATGATTTAAAAATCTTACTTTTGTACATCTTCATGTGGATTCTGCCTTCCACACTAATCTCTTTTCCATAAATTTCCCTTGACGAGGTTTCAATAACATTTTAAAAGCCTACATACTATAGCTGTGGTTCACACCTGTAATCTTTACTACTCAGGAGGATGAGAGCTAGAGCATCAAGGTTTATGGTCAATCTTGGCAGAAAAGTCCTCAGGACTCCATCTTAAAAAACAAGCTGGTTTCAGTGACTCATGTCGGGAATCCTAGCTACTCAGGAGGCTGAGATCTGAGGATCGTAGTTCAAAAGCCTGCCTGGACAGGAAAATCCATGAGACTCTTATCTACAATAAAAAAAAAAAAAAAAAAAAACACCCCAGAAAACCGAAGTGTCACTGTGGCTCAAGTAGTAGATCACTAGTTTTGAGCTGAAGAGCTCAGGAACAGCACCCAGGCCCAGAGTTCAAGCCCCATGATGGACAAAACAAACAAAAAAACAACAAGCAGGCTGTTTTCCACTGTCTGGATACAGTGGGGAGCAGTCACAGTGGCTAATAAAGATTCATAGCCACAAACAAACAACAACAAGGCAAACAAAAAAACAGCAAAAAGCTGGGCTGGAGATTGGCTATAGTATTAGAAATCCAGTAGAGCAGCAAGCAGAATAAGGCCTTGAGTTCAACTCAATAGCAAAAGAAAGAAAAAAAGAAAAAGCCCTCTGATACCATATTCCCTGACATCTCTGCAGTTGATGTGGATTACTTGTTTTCCTGAACTGATTTTGACTCTACACATTCTCTTAAGTTGTCTGGTTCTTATTAGAAGCCGTTCAACACTCCTTGTATTTCAATAACATTCAAATATCCACAATACACTTCTATTTCCAAGACTTTTCATCTAGATGTTAAGAATATAGGGCCACTTTATTTGATCAGTTTCTTCTTCATTTTCTTGTTTCTTTTTTCTACCATTCAAGGAGGCAGTACTTACACAGATCCAGCAAGCAACTCTGAAGATCCTCAGACTTCTGTTTACAATGGCTGTCAAACCTACTCCTTCCACAGATCAAAGACTACTATATAATTCTTCTCTTATCTCTACCCTGTGTCGTCAAATCTTGACCACACTAAAACAGTAGAAAAGCCTGTATCTCCATGATGAAGTTAGAATTTAGCAATATTAAGAGTTGTATAATTACATATTATTAAACCAAGAATGGCCTAACAAACTGAACAGAGCAAGCTGTATTATTACACACATTATTTCAGTGGTCATAATTTGATTCATTGATGTACATGTTATAAAAAGTCTCCAAATAAGTTGGGTGCTCCGGCTGGAAAGGTGGCTCAGTGGTAGAGAGCTTGCCTTGCATGCCTGAGGCCCTGGGTTCGATTCCTCAGCACCACATAAGCAAAAAGAAAAAACCCGGAAGTGGCACTGTGGCTCAAGTGGTAGAGCACTAGCCTTGAGCTGAAGAGCTGAGGGACAGCGCCCAGGCCCAGAGTTCAGGCCCCACGACCGGACCCAAAAAAAAAAAAAAAAATGAGTTGGGTGCTCACATCTGTAATCCTAACTACTCAAGAGTCTGAGAACTGAAGATCACGGTTGGGAGCCAACATGGGCAGGAAAGTCTGAGACTCTTTCCTCCAATTAAACACACACACCCATACACAAAAAAAGCCGTAAGTGGAGCTGTTGTTCAAGTGGAAGAGCACTAGTCCTGAGCGACAGAGGCCATGGACAGTGCCCAGATCTTGAGTACAAGTCCTCAGAACCCGCACAAAAACAAAACAAACAGAAAAGCTCTATTTTTACCACATTTAAAATGATGTTTCTCAAACATTTTCAGCCAATGTCCCTTGCCAGGAGAGGAGAAATCTGAACCTGAAACCCAAGGCACCTCTAAAACCCAAATGCTATGACAAACTAATTTTACCTTTAAAATTAATAAGAGGCCAAAGTTCTAAGTAGCTCATTAGTAGAGTCCTTCCTAAGCATGCAGGAAACCCTGAGTTAATCTCCAGCATCCCCCCAAAACTAAGCAAATAAAATTAATGTGTCATTGTCGCTCCATAAAACACACTTGTGCTTCTAGAAACGACATTTAACATTGTTTTAGCAGTAAGTACCAATGCTCCAATACTTCTGAAAGGGGCACTTGGTTTATCCCGTGGCTCTGCATGCTTCTATACCTCCCACCTCTAGAGTCTGAACAAGACATAAGAACGGGTTTACTGTCCAGCTCTTGAAGGGACTGATAGAAGCGAGACAGGTGACATGAGAATCCAACATTTACTTGAAATTCGAGAACCTTAATAACCGCTAACTAATTTCAAATTAGAACACCACGACAATGCTTCAAAATGTCACTCAGTCTTTTACTAATTCCAAAACCTTCCAGTTTAAAGTTGTTAGGTTTTTTTTTTTAATCATTGATCCCTTTTACATCTCCACGTTGCTTCTTTTCTAATGAACGAAGTGCACTTCCCATTTTAAATACTATGTCACAGGACAGGCACCTCTTCGTATGTATTTTGCTTCCCTAGCCTTCAAAGTGTTGTTTTCTTCTCCAGGGCCAGAGAGCTTAGTCCTTCAGGGACTGCACTCTCCGGATCCTGAACATTACAACAAAGGCAGGGAGGCGTCGTAACCAGGGGTCCCGAGTGCCTCTACCGGCGGCGCCCGGACACGGGACAAGCGACGCTGTGATGTCGCTGGAAGCTCGGAAGCGAAGCGCCAGCGCCTCACCGGCTGCAAACGACAGTCCTAATTACAGTGTCGCAGGTAACCCATCATTAGCCTCCACCAGTCAGGGGTCCACTCGGGGAACAACCCACACCGCAAGGCCGGCAAGTTCCCCTCGAACCCTGAACCGGCCCGAGTTCCGGCCGCCCTCCGCTGGCTCGGGGCCGGCCCCGGGCGTGGACGCGGCCCGCTCAGCGCCGCGGCTCAGACAGCCCCAGGCCCCGGATGTGACGGCACCGCCGCCCCAGGCGCTTGTCCTCCGGACCAGGGTGGGGTGTCCCGGAAAAGCGGCCTGGGGGAGGGGGGTGTTCTTCCCACCGAGCAGCCGGTCACCACGTACCCAAGTAAGCAGGCTCTCGCACAGCTCCACCCGCTCCACCGACTCCACGTTGAACATCTTTCTCGCGGGGGTTCTGCAGCGTCTCTTCGCCCAGCCAGACACCGCGCGCTCGGCCTGAGGGCGAGTCCGCAGGTCCGGCAGCCGACCGGCTTCTGGCTCACTGTTCTCAGGCCCGACTGCCGCCGCCGCCGCCGCCTCTGGCCCTGGCAGCAGCTCTCGCACCGTCACCCCGGCGCCCCTCCTTCTCGCGCTCAGGCCCGTGTGCCCCGCCCCGGCTGCCCACGCCCTCCTGCGCTTTCGGAAACCAGCGCTAGCCACGGCCGCGCCACTGCGCACACTCGCGCTCTGCTGGGCCCAGTCCACCGCGCGCGCCCCCGACTCCGGGGCGCTGCGTGTCTCCACGCGCACGCGCCCGACCTGCCGACGGCGGGTCTTCCTTTCGCGTCCTCGCGCTCTTACGGAAGCTCCGCAGTGCGCGTGCGCCAGCGCCCGCACTCCAAATTGAAAAAGAGACAGCTTGTAGTTGCCCGGGAGGGGGTGGCAAGGCGGTCCCCGGAAATATCCTCTGTTCTGTCACCGGGAACTGGCGAGGTAGTTCCTCCGCGGTGGAGAGGTACGCGCCCCTCTACCTGGTCGCGAGCGTGTGGCCGGCCACGCCCCCGAACCCGGCCCGCGGCTGGTAGGGACAGCGGGGTCCCGCGTGGGCGGGACTACAGGGGCGGCGTGGGGCTGTGGTTCTGCGGGTGCCGGTCTCTGCCTTGATCCCGCCCTCTGCCTGCCTACCAGAATCCGGTACTAAGCCCAGGATCTCGCCATTCCCATCCAGAACCGCCGGCGACGGTGAAAGGGGTCCGGGTGGTGGGCATCTTGGCCTTGGGTGGCTTGAGCCTCATCTCCCAGAAAACAGTATTCGAAATGGGAGAGGGTGGATGGCCAGGTCCCCAATGCATAAAGGACCGCCACAGTTCTAAAGGCCTGTTTCTCCTAGTGTTGGGAGTTGGCTTCCTGGAGGTACATCATTGGACAGTTCTCACCTTTGTAGAGACACAAATATGTAAACAGTTTGTGATACGTTTCTAAACAGTATGGTATATGAAGAAAACTTTGTAGGACATACATGCTTAAGGAATAATTAAAACAGCCAGATGACAAAAGTTTTGCCAGCTCCCAGAAGCTGCTCATAACCTCCTTGGCCTGACTGTGGCCTTGGGCACTTTCTCTACCACCTATATAAGCATGCAGTATAGTTTTCCTCTGCCTGATTTGAGCTTTTATGAATGGAATCATGCTATGTTAATCTGTGGTTTTCAATTAATATTAAAGTACTTGGGTTTTCCTATAGGTTTTTGCATTTTCTACTATTCCATTTATGAATATAGCATTACATCCCATTCTGCTGGTATGTGTTTGTGTCAGTTTAAAAGTACTCTAAACAATGTTATAAACATTGACATTATTGCAAACATACTGGCGTTTCTGGGGCAGGTGCTTTGGAGTCCTAGGAGAACTGTGGACCAATGTGGTATGTATAACTATCAGATAATGCCTGGTTGTATTTGAAGTGCTGCAAGTTAAAGTTACACATTTTAACCTTCACAAGACAATTTGTTATTATCTTAGTCTATAAAATCTGTAAATTCTACAAGCTTTGACAGTCAACTATTTCTTCTGTGTTGGGTGATATGTACATTTCTTTTGCTTATTGTTAGCTATTCCTCCTCCTCTCCCCCCCTCCCCCCCCCCCCCCCCCCCCCCCGGGCCTGTGTGCTTTGATTCTCTACCACTTGGGCCACATTTCCAGTTTTTTGGTGGTTAATTGAAGACTCTTAAGGATTTTCTTGCCTGGCTGGTTATGAAACACGATCCTCAGATTTCAGCCCCCTGATTAGCTACAGATGTGAGCCTCCAAAGCCCAAATCAAAAGTAGGTTTTCTTAAAGCCCTATAGTTGAGAAGCAGGGGACTTGCCTAACACAGGTGCTAGGTTTTATCGCTAGCACTGGGGGTGAGGAGGGAAAGTAGGTTTCTTATTGAGTACTAAGAACTGTCAAGACAGCATAAAGTTTTTTGGTTTTTTTTTTTGGTCCGGTTGTGGGGACTGAACTCTGGGCCTGGGCACTGTCCCTCAGCTCTTCAGCTCAAGGCTAGCGCGCTCTACCACTTGAGGCACACCGCCACTTCCGGCTTTTTTCTTTTTTCTTATGTGGTGCTGAGGAATCGAACCCAGGGCCTCAGGCATGCAAGGCAAGCACTCTACCACTGAGCCAACTTCCCAGCCCCCAGACAGCATAAAGTTTTTAATGATGCCTCATGGAGGACTAGCTGATAGCTCATACATAACTGATCTTTTTATGAGTGTAAAAATAACTTACTAGAAGTCTTTCTTCTCAGTGGTCTTTCTTGCAAGCATCCTTCTTAAACCAAAGAAAGAAAACCCTTTAGCAACTGTGATTATGACTCTTTGTCTTTGGTTCCTCTGTTGGTGCTTCTAGGTCAAACCAGAGTTCCTGCATTTCATACTAAGTTGATTCTGTAGAATTCCTGTCACTTTAAATGACTCTCCCTTGTTTGGCAAGTAAATAGTCAATATACTATATTGACTTCAGCCTGACTGGTGAGGACCATTTGCTGGTGTATACCAATTGTCTTTGACTGTGGAGGCCAAAGGTGCTAGACCTTGATGGAGGACTATGGAGTAGGAGGCATCATTTCGCCAGCGGCTTAGGTTTTCAAGGCCTTGATAAAATTAACGAAATGCCTCCTTTTCTAGACGTGGCTGTGAATCCACAATGGTGTGTGTGTGTGAGTGTGTGTGTATATGTGTGTGTGTGTGTGTGTGTGTGTGTGTGTATGCTGCAGTGTTCTTGAGATTGTGTGTATGAGACTGAACTCTGGAGGGCCTGGGTACGGTCCCTTAGCTTTTTCACTCAAGATTAGAACTCTACTACTTGAGCCACAGCTCCATTTCTGGCATTTTTGGTTGTTAATTGGAGATAAGAATCTCATAGACTGAGCTAGTTTTGAACTAGGGTCCTCAAATCTCAGCCTCCTGAGTAGCTAAGATTACAAGTATGAGCCACCAGCTTGTTCTTAAATTTTTTTTGTTTTTTTGTTAGTTGAGGGGCTTAAACTCAGGGCCTGGGGACAGTCCCTGAGCTCCTTTGTTCAAGGCTGGTGCTCTATCACTTTGAGCCACAGCTCGACTTCCCAGTTTTGAGTGGTTAATTGAGATGAGTCTCATGAGAACTTTTCTGCCTGGTTTGGCTTTGAACCGTAATCTTCAGATATTAGCCTCCTCAGTAGCTAGGATTACAGGTATGAGCCACCAGTGCCTGGCTTAAGATTTATTTCATAGTACAAATTAGCCTCCATGAACAAAACTAAAGTTTCTTGAATGGAATTGCAGAAGCCATATAGACATCAAGTTTCTAAATGTTTGGAGAAAGACACTGAATCTTTTCTTTGTTCTAGGAAGTCCTTAAATTTTGTTTTCCCCGTGTGTGTGTGTGTGTGTGTGTGTGTGTGTGTGTGTGTGTGTGTGTGTCAAAGAGAGTTTGAGATTAAATTGTACAGCTATTGCACTACTCATAAGGCATGACCAAATTTTACATAGTTCTGCTGATTCCTTGATTGTAGTTAATTAAAATGTTAGAGCTTCTTCTCACAACTTGTAGAATGTGCCATACGATATGTTAAATGCTTTACCTTCATGATATTATAAGTTGTGTAAGGTATTTTATTTGCTTAAAAAATGGCAACCTAAATTGTGCGTTGTACATAGGAGGAAATTGAGACTCACACTTCACAGAAGCACACAGCTGGCTGACTGCTTTACAATATTAAGCTACTCCTTTGTAAGATTTAGCCAGCTAAGCAGTGGCAAAACCAGTCCTCTTCAGGTTTCTAACTACATACTTTCCAAGATCAATTGTGTCTTGTTTTTGTAATATAATCTGGGTGCGGGTAGCTCATGCCTATAATCCTAGATATTAAGGAGGCTGACATCTGAGGATTACAGTTTGAAGCCAGCCTAGGCAGGAAATTCTGTGAGACTCTGATTGCCAATTAACCACTAAAAAACTGGAAGTACAGCTGTGACTCAAAGTGGTAGAGTGCTAGCCTTGAGTGAAAAAGCTCAAGGACAGTACCCAGGCCCTGTCTGAATTAAAGCCCCACGGCTGACAAAACAAAAACAAAACTTCATTTTTAAATATGATAAGATCCCATGAAATGATTTATTTATATTGTATTCTATTAGTGTTCCTTCCAAAAGCATACAAGACCTTGCACACTGCTCAAGGGAATAAGATGTAGCTTCTAATAAAAAAGGAATCATGACTAGTAGGTGAGTTTAGCAATTGACATGCCCTGCAGTCCAGATGTGCCTCCTTTTGCCCTATACTGGAATCCTAGAAGGTACCCTATGAAAACTGAGAGTGGGTAAATAGTGGTTAAGAAGAGTCTTTGAGAGCGAATCTGCATCTCAACAGAGCAGTATATACTGCTTTATTTTTTCATAAATGTTCAAGAGGTACATAGTTGAGATGAATTTAAACTACAGAAATATATCCTGGGGAAAGTGATGATTGGCTCTTCAGTTCTGCAGCCCATTCAATGTCTTTAACTTTTGGTTTTTATCTTGCTTGCCTTCTTTCTGTTTTGAAAGCTCTGAACAGGTAAATGTAGGGGCGAAAGGAAAGGAAGGTATCATGAAGCCCAACTTAAATATTTTGCAGAAAATGAGAAGTCGTGAGAGACAGTGAGGTCACATCTGTGGTAACAGAATTGAGAACCTGTTACTATCAGGCAAAATCAGAAACACTATTTTATTCTAGAAGAACACTGATTATGACAAACTGAAATTAGAGCACTGTAGTCAGGTTAATTTTGGAGTTCCTCTTCAAGATTTAGCTAGGTAAGGTGATACATGGCTGTAACCCCAGTGCTTGGGAGACTGAAGCTAAAGGACAACCAATTAAAGGCCAGCCTGACTACAAAGGAAGACAAAACAAACAAAAGGTTGAGGTGTTTATGTCCTTTCTCCAGGTAGGAAATATGAGTCTTTTTATTGTTTATCCCTTGTAGTCTCAAATCCAACCATCCTTTTTCAGATTGAGATACTTTATAGTATCTTATTTTCTAGCCCTTAATTTCCAGTTCTCTTTTTACTCATTTTTTTTTCAAAGAAGCATTATGGTAGGATACTACTGAGACCTTCAACAAGTCGGTAAAATACCCATAGGAGATCTTATTGTGGCAGCCTTAGGTTTGGTTGAGATTACCAAATTATAGGAAAATGTAGCTGACTTCTTTGTGCTTCTCAACAACACTGGAAATTTCTGCTGCAAAAAACATTGTATGGTCACACAATACCTGAGAGCATCCTGGATCTCTGAGCTCTTGAAAGTATACAGGAAGCAATATCTTGAGGGTATAACTGCATATATATGGATAGTGAACATATAAAAATTGTTTAGTAGAATTTAGTTACATTACCACTGATCACACCTGGAAGTACATAGAAACAAATTGAACACATTTTTTAAAGTTCCTCATAGTAAAATGTCTAAAAGTATATAACACAGTAGAAAATATGAGTAATAATAATTTCAGTGACCTATGAATGCACTTATCTTTCAAAGTACTTTCTCTTTAGTTAATTTGATTTAATTTGACCATTGAAGTAATTAGAATCAGTAACTAGAGACTGGGAATCTTGGCAGATAATATTTTTATTACTTTTGAAAAGATAGTAGTGCTCACTACCTTTTAGGAATTTTGAAAGAGCCATAGGTGTGTCAGAGAAAACAGGAAACAATTAAAAAAAACTAAACTGACCACCTAACCTGACCTTAGATTATGAGAAGCTTTTTATTTTCTAGTTTCAGTGATATTTGACTCTGTGTGCGCATGTGCAAGTGTGCGTGTGTGCGCGTGCTCATGCCAGTCCTAGGGCTTGAGCTTAGGCCTTGGGCGTGGTCCCTGAGCCTTTTTGCTCTACGATAGTGCTTTACCACTTGAGCCACAACTCCACTTCTAGCTTTTTTGGTGGTTAATAGGAGATAAGATTCACATGTATTTCAGCTTCCTGAGTAACTAGGATTATAGGCATGGGACACCAGTGCCCAGCTTTGGCTGTTCTTTTGAATGAAGATGCTGAACTAGACCTTTGAGTTTACTGATGCACACCTTCATAATGGGTACTTGGAACCTGTCATTAGCAAGTTCCTAATCTCTCTATTACTATGTGTAAAACTGAGGAAACATGTCTTTGATCTACCTGTTTGCTTGGCTTTCTTCTAAGAGCAGTAAGTAATTTTCTTATTAGCTAATTCATGTTCACTCCATACTGAAAATTTCTTCTTCACAGAGACTCTCCTGATTAATTGTGATTTGGAATAAAACTCTTTTCAATGCAGTAAGTTACATCAATGCAAAACTTTAAATTATAATATGATATCTACTTAATTGAATTATTTATTTCTTTCGTTTCTCAGATAGCTTATAAGACTTAGAATTGTATGATTTTTTTCCATCTAAAATCATGTGTTACCCTGGTATTTGTACTCCAATGTGTTGAGCTGTTTCCCCTCTTACTTGTAGAACCATTTTTCTCTAGTTTATAAAAAAGAAATTACATTTGCTTCTGCTCTTAAGAAATTTTAGCCTCATAATGGTTCTGTATTTGAAAGAACTCTGAACCATAAGCTGACCTTAATTTCAAGTGAGACTAATAGTTTTTCAAGCACCAGAATTTTCACTAATTCAAGTAGTCTTAGTATAGACATATATGTCCTTTCTTTTTTCCTTTTTTTTTTTTTTTGGTTGGTGGTGAGGCTTGAACTCTGGGCTTGGGCACTGTCCCCAGGCTCTTCAGCTCAAAGCTAGCGCTCTACCACTTGAGCCACAGTACACTTCTGGTTTTCAAGTGGCTTATTGGAGATAAGAGTCTCACGGACTTTCCTTGCCTGGGCTGGCTTTGAACCGTGATCCTCAGATCTCAGCCTCCTAAGTAGCTAGGATTACAGGCGTGAGCCACTGGCACCTGGCATATATGTCCTTTCTTGATTCATGTGGTCTAAGTATAGACATAAATGTCCCATCGCATTTGCTTTTCAAAATACTAGCAAACACTGTTAAGAATGGTAAGTCACTTTTATTTAGACAAGTATTTATTAGGTCCTCCAGTGGACAGAGTATATACTAGGAAATATAGGAATAGTTATAGAAGACTACAATAGAATTCCTTTCCCAAACATGGTAAATCCCATATGACACATGTATTTGGTGCTCCAAAGGAGAAAAATCAGATCTTCTTGGAGACTTCATTTAGAAAAAAGCAGGAAAGAAGAGTGCCTTTTTCCTCAAAAGAGCCTAAATTTGAAGAGGAAAAGTTTTTTTTTAAGTTTTATCTTAAAGATATAAATGCAGCTGGGAGATGGCTCAGTGGTAGAGTGCATGAGGCCTTGGGTTCGATTCCTCAGCATCACATAAGCAGTAAAAGCTAGAAGTGGTGCTGTGGCTCAAGTGGTAGAACACTGAAGAGCTGAGGAACAGCCCCTAGGCCCAGAGTTCAGGCCCCACAACCTACAAAAACAGAAAAGAAAAGAAAAAGATATAAATGGATGATAAAATGCAATCGTCATTTCCTTATAGGAAATAAGAGTTTGTACTCTCCAAAGTAATATTTCTAGCAATTTTTTTCATTAGTGAGTCTTTACTGGAATTGTGCCTAATATAGTCTATATTATGAGCATGCTATGAATATTAAATATGTTAGAAATCAGCTACACAAATATGAACTGCTATATAAATTACATTTTCACTATCACTTGTAACTTTTGTTTGTCATATTTTAGACCTGGAATGGCCAAATATCAAGGTGAAGTTCAAAGTTTGAAACTGGATGATGATTCAGTTATAGAAGGAGTAAGTGACCAAGTGCTTGTGGCTGTGGTGGTCAGTTTCACTTTGATTGCTACCCTGGTATATGCACTTTTCAGGTGAGACTAAAGGACAAATGAATTCAGACACTGTATTTTCAAAGGTCACTGACTCTTGATTCTCTCCTAGTAATATGTGATTCTAAAGCAAGTGGCTGATCGCAATGATTATATACACTTACTAAAGTATTTCATTTTTAATTGAGCTCTGAATGCTAATATATATTTTTCTACATTACCAGAAAATATTTGAGTTTACCATTCATATTTTGATTAAAATGTTAGTATTTCTTAGTAGATTATCATAGTTTAAAGTAACTGGGCTTGGGAGGTGGCTCAGTGGTACAGTGCTTGCCTTGCATGCGCGAAGCCATGGGTTTGATTCCTCAGCACCACGTAAGCAGAAAAAGCTAGAAGTGGCACTGTGGCTCAAGTGGTAGGGCACCCCTTGAGCTGAAGAGCTGAGGGACAGCACCCAGGCCCAGAGTTCAAGCCCCATGACCGACCAAAAAAAAAAAAGACATAGTTTAAAGTAATTAATTTTCATTGGGATAGAGGCATGGTTCAAGTGGTAGAGTGTCTTTCTACCAAGTGTGAGGCCCTGAGTTCAAACCCTAGGACTACCACCACCACCAACAAAAAGATAAAAATTTATTAAAAAGACCTGGTACAGTAGCTCATGCCTGTAATCTTAGCTACTCCGAGATTTGAGGATCTCTGTTTGAACCCAACAGGGGCAGAAGAATCTGTGAGACTCTTAACTCAGTCACCAAAAAGCAGAAAGTGGAGGTATGGATCAAGTGGTAGAGTGCCAGCTTTGAGGGAAAAGCCAAGAAGAGCTCCAGGCACTGAGCCTAAGCCCTGGTATGGACACACACACACAAAATATAATAAAATATTTCTAGATATACTTAAAGGAAACTACATCAGTATGTCAAAGAGATATCTGCAATCTCATGCTCATTGCAGTATCATTTAGAGTATCTAAGATAGAATAAACCAAAATGTCCACTGAAAGACAACTGGATAAGGAAAAGGGATGCATATATATAATACAATGGAACACTATACAGACTTTTTTATGTATGTGTGCCAGTATTGGGGCTTGAACTCAGTCTCCTAGCTTTTTGTGGCACTCTGTTTCTTGAGCCACTCCTCACTCCTGGCTTTTTCCTGGCTAACTGAAGATCAGAGTGTCACTTTCCTGTCTGGCTGACTTCAAACCACAATCCTCACATCTCAGCCTCTTGAATAGCTAGATGTGAGCCACCAATGACTAGCTCCAATACAGACTTTAAAAGGATAGAATTCGGGGAAGGGAGCGAGGGAGGGGATGGTAGGGGGAAAACAATGAGGGGGTAACAATGTTCAAGAGGAAGTGTACTCATTACCTCACTCATGTAACTGTAACCCTCTGTATAGTATCTTTACAATAAAAAAAAAAAGGATAGAATTCCTTGGGCACCAGTGGCTCACGCCTGTAGTCCTGGCTACTCAGAAGAATGAGATCCTGCCAGCCTGGGCAGGAAAGTCTGTGAGACACTTATTTCCAGTAAACCACCAAGAAAAAAAAAGCTGTAAGTGAAGCTGTGGCTTAAGTGGTAGAGTACTAGCCTTGAGTGAAAGGATAGTGCCAGGGCCCTGAATTCAAGCTCCAGGACTTGCATAAAAATAAATAAAAACAGTATAAAAATCCTCTCAATTCACTACCTTAATTAACCTGGAGGACATTGTGCTAACTGAAATAATACAAGCCCAAAAGATTAAATACTCCATGATTTCATTTATATGTGGAATCTAAAATGGTTAAACTCCCTAAATCACAGAGTAAATGAGTTCAGCCACCATTGGCTTAGGGAAATTTTTGTAAAAGGATATAAAAGTTTCAGTCAGGATGAATTTTATAAAGAAGAGGATGAGAACTAGGGAAAAAATTACACAGATCACAAAACCATTAGTAAAGTAACCCATTAAAAATATTCATAAAAATTAAAAATATTCATAAAATAGCCAGCCTGGACAGAAAAGTCTGTGAAACTTTTTTTTGGGGGGGGGGGAGGGGGGGTCCGATCGTGGGGCCTGAACTCTGGGCCTGGGCACTGTCTCTCAGCTCTTCAGCTCAAGGTTAGAGCTCTACCACTTGAGCCACAGTGCCACTTCTGGCTTCTTTTCTTTTTGCTTATGTGGTGCTGAGGAATTGAACCCAAGGCCTCATGTATGCAACGCAAGTGCTCTACCACTGAGCCACCTTCCCAGCCCCCATCTGTGAAACTCCTATCTCCAATAAACTACCAGAAAACTGAAAGTGGCGCTGTAGCTCAAATGGTAGAGCACTCACCTTGAGCTGAAGAGCTGAGGGACAGTGTTCTGGCCCAGAGTTCAATCAAGCCCCATACTGACAAAAAAAAATCATGAAATAAAATTGGAGGAACTAATACTGGGGATTGAACTCTGGACCTTGATTTGACCTACCACTTGATCAATACCTTTTATGTTTCATTTTTCATTATTGCTAGGTATATAATTTGCAAACATTTTTTTCTAGTTTATGGATTGCCTTTTCAGGGTTTTTTTTTGTTTTGTTTTGTTTTTTTGCCATTCTTGGGGCTTAAACTCTGCGCCTGGGTGCAGTCCCTGAGCTCCTTTTGCTCATGGCTAACACTCTGCCACTTGAGTCACTGTGCTACTTCCAGCTTTTTCTGTAATTAATTGGCGACTCTTTTGTCACTTTTTGATTTTGGTACCCCGTGCCTTGTATATATGTTTATCTGATTTGGGGAAGGGAAGGGGAAATAATGAAATGGTGAGACAAAGGACAAAGAGTGAACCAATGCAACAGTGATACTCACAAGACACCATATTGGAAATGAACTTTACAACTTGGGGGTGGGGGAGTGGGAGAAAAACAAGGGAGGGGTAACAATGTTCAACAAGAATGTACTCATTACCTTATGTAACTGTAACCCCTCTGCATTACCGTTACAATATTAGTAAATTAAAAGGTTCTCACAGACTTCCCTGCCCAGGCTGCCTTCAAACCGTGATCCTCTGATCTCAGCCTCTTGAGTAGCTAGGATTACAGGTGTGGGCCCCCAGCACCCAGTCTTTTCACTCTTTTGATACCTTTTGTTATGTAAGAGGTGCTCTGTTTTGTATTTTCTTTCTTCCAGTACTAGTGATTGAACCCAAAGGCTTGCCCATGCTAGGCAAGCATTTTACCTTTTTGGGGGGGAGGGGAGGGAGGAGTGGTCCGATCGTGGGGCCTGAACTCTGGGCCTGAGCGCTGTCTCTCAGCTCTTCAGCTCAAGGCTAGCGCTCTACCACTTGAGCCACAGCGCCACTTCTGGCTTTTTTATTTTTTCTTCTTATGTGGTGTTGAGGAATCAAACCCAGGGCCTCATGCATGCAAGGCAAGCACTCTACCACTGAGCCACCTTCCCAGCCCACATTCTACCTTTTGAGCCATACCTATCACCTTAGTTTTTTCTGACATTGGCCTGTGATTCTTCTGTTTACATTTGTTGAGTAGCTAGAATGACAGAACCATACTGTATAGCTTTTTACGGATTGAGATAGGGATGTTATGAACTTTTTGCCCAGGGTTCATCTTGAACCATTGATCCTCTCTATTTCAGTTTCCCTAGTAACTAGGATTACAGGTATGAACTGTGCCTGTCAAAATTCACCAAAACTTAAGATGTTTCAATAGAGTTAAAGAAGTTTCATTACACTTATGTTTCACTTGTTATAGTCTGTCAGCATTCTTTTCTAAAACTTGCATATTTTACTAAAAATTGAATAATATGGGATTGATAGCTTTAGATTTTTCCCTATCCCTTTAGAATATTGGAGTTCTTGCTTCTGTTGGATGTGGCTTACCTAAAAAGCAAACAGTTTTCTACAGATTAAAGATTGTATAGACTTAAAAATGGTTCACAATGTTTAAGTTTAGGGAAAAAAGGCTACAGCTAAATGAAATTGAACCATGATTGACATGTAAATCTTCATATCTAGCAGCCTAGCTACCACTTCTAATTTCTCTGGCATTTCAGACCATCAGTTTATATTAGCCATCAACTTTTTAATTTTCCATTCTCCATTTTACATGTTAATGTCCAGATGTTAGTTGCATGTTTGGTTCTAGCTTTTCTATAAATCTTATATAATCTTATTTTTTGTTTTCTTTCCCCTCAATCCTGAAAAGTTAAGCGAAAGACTGAATTAGATATGGAAGAGTGTTCAAATGTAATAATATGTAGAACTGTAGAACTAAATATTTTAAAGGAGTTTCAAAAAAGAAATGTGCTAACCAGCACATTTTTATATTGTTATATTTTTATTTGTATTGTATTTATTACATATATTTACATATATAATTTATATTTATATAATTACATTATAAACATATAATATAAAGAATATTAAAATAAATATATAATTTGCATAACATAAAAATATAAAATATATTATACTATCTATTTATTATCTATATTTGTTATATTATATTACTTATATTTTTATATTTACATTTTTATTATTATATAATCAGCCACATTCTTTATATTATTTGTGAGCTTTCCATTACAACCAATCTCCAAAGTACTACACCTCTGGATATTATCATTTGCCAGTTAAACCTAATATTAATCAGTGATCAAGGGTCTGGGAGGACCTCACCACAGAGTAGCCTGGAATGTACAGTCCTGGAATTAGACTATTGTTATATATCCTCAATAACATTTAATAAGTTACCAGCTATTCTGAGCCACAACTACAGTATAAAAGCAAATAGATCATATGACAATATTTATAACCAACACTTGTTATATTCTATTTAATAGAAATGTACATCAGAACATTCACCCAGAAAATCAAGAGCTAGTAAGAGTGCTTCGAGAACAACTTCAAACAGAACAGGTACTTTTATATGTGCATTTATGTAAATCAATATTATAACTCTTCTTGTAGATGCAGTTGTGATTAAGCATTTGGAAATTACTTTGAGAAATGACAGCTTTTTTTTCCTGCTTCAAATTGTCCTAAATTGGTCTATAGGTTATATATTTTCAGATTAAGCAAGTTACCTAGTCTTATTCTGTTCAGTTTTTGTTTTTATTTTTACTGACTTGTTTTAAACTTATGTTTGTGCAGAAATAATCACTTTATTTCATTGTAATCACTGTAACTTGGCCTTAACTGAAATGTAGTGGAAACTCTACTTTTTAATATATATCGCTTAAGACCTTTAAAGAAATGACTGGAAAGGGTGCCTGCTCATTGTCTCCTTTTCCCCTTTCTTCAGTGGTGAAAGTTAATGAAACTGTAGAAAAAGAAGAAAACTTATCTACTCAGCCTCTTCTTTTTTTACCAAATGGAATCTTTAAGAACCAGAAATGAAATATGGTTTAGGAAGGCTGGAGTAAGTGGGACATTGTATATATCTGAATCAAGATAACTAGCAACAAAAACAAAAATTGAAAATGTTTTCTGCTAATGGCTTATGCCTGTAATCCTAGCTATTCAGGGATGAGACCCAAGGATTGCAGTTCAAAACCAGCTCAAGCAGGAAAGTCCACGAGACTCTTATTTCCAATTAACCCACAAAACAGCCAGAAGTGGGTGCATGACTCAAGGGTTAAAGCACAAGCCTTGAGCAGAAAAGCAAAACAAGAACATAAAGCTCTGAGTTCAAGCCCCAGTACCAGTACCAAAAAGAAAAGAAAAAGAACATACTTTCCTACTCAAAGTTCAATTCTATTAAAGTTCTGTAATTTACTAATTCACCAAATATTTTTTGAACTTCTATTTTATGCCAGACAATGTAGGCACTGGAAATTTAATTGTGAACTAAATTCATTTAAAAAAATCATGCCATCATGGAATTTCAATTCATTGACATAGAATACTTTCAGGATATTAGTAGTACTATTTCCAGAACTGTTATCAATAATTCAAGTTTTATAACTTATAAAGTGACTTTACAAACTTCTGGGTTAGCTTTATAACTTACCATAATAAGGGATGTTATGGACTTATTGAACAGAAATGCTTATTCAGATTTACAAGTTTGAATGTTTCAGTATATGTTCAGTTGGTTTTACTGCTTTGGGAGCCTGTGACAAGACAATGGCAAGATGGGGATTTTGTCAAATAGAAAAGTTTTTTTACCTAGATCGATTAAAAGATAAAATAAGAAAGTAGTTGAGAGTCTATGTTCTCATATCTTTCACGCTGAAGAACTTAATCTCCAGAACTATTCAGATATTCTCCACAGTCTGGGAGGAAATATTTAATCTTCAAACATGATAAATAAGGTGACTATTCTATTTTTGTATTGAAACATTTGATGACTAAAATGCTTAAATTCATACTATGTAAAGGGCTTAGCTGTACTGGATCTTCTTTGTGCTGTGGTCCCATTCATCTACCTCACACCTTCCTCAGATTAGAAGTAAGTTACAGACTTTGGCCTTTTCTGTGTTGTTTAACATGGTAGCCACCAGTCCCAGGTGACTATTTAAATTTAAGTTAATTGCCAGCCACGGGGGACTCATGCCTGTAACCCTACCTACTCAGGAGGCTGAGATCTGAGGATCATGGTTCAAGTCCAGCCTGGGAAGGAAGTATATGAGACTCTTAGCTCCAATTAACCAATAAAAAACTGGAAGTGGCACTGTGGCTCAAAGTGGTAGAGCACTGGCCTTGAGCAAAAGAGCTCAGAGGCAGCCCAGGCCTTGAGTTCAAGCCCCACGACCAACAAAAATAAAGTTAATTAGGTTTGAAGCTAACCCCAAGCAGAAAAATTCTTAAGACTCTATCTACAATATCACCAAAAAAAGCTGCTGCAGTCTTCCTTCTCCTCCTCTTCCTCCTCCTCCTCCTCCTCCTCTTCTTCTTCTTCTCTTCCTCCTCCTCCTTCTTCTGCTTCTTCTTTTCTCTCTCCTCTCTCTCTCTCTCACACACACACACACACACACACACACACATACACACACACAAGGAAGTAAGGTAAAGAAAAACAACCCAGCAACATAGCTTCATAAGTTTATCAGACTTACATGACCTTAAATATGGCATGTCTAAACTGTCAGTGTTAATAGCTCTGGCTGTGAGGTGTGATGTGGACACATGTCTTCTCACCAGGGTGTACCCACTACTGCTCGACAGCAGTTCTACACTGAAATGTATTGTCCAATCTGCTTACATCAAGCCTCTTTCCCTGTGGAAACGAACTGTGGACATCTTTTCTGTGGTAAGAAAACAATGATATATACTTAGTTGAAATGATATTTATATCAAGACCTACATGTGTGTATTAGCTGGATTCCTAATTTTCTCTCAGTCATAGTTCCTGAGTAGAATAGATGGCTCTTTTGATGTCTTGTTATACTTGTTGACTAAGTATATTTAGCATTTAAATATTGTTATTTGTTTTTGTACTTTATATATATATTACTTTATATATCATTTAGCATTTGTGGATTCAAAGGTCAGTTTCTGAGTCAAGAGTAGTTTGCTGGGGCTGGGAAGGTGGCTTAGTGGTAGAGCGCTTGCCTTGCATGCATGAGGCCCTGGGTTTGATTCCTCAGCACCACATAAGCAAAAAGAAAAAAGCTGGAAGTCGCACTGTGGTTCAAGTGGTAGAGCGCTAGCCTTGAGCTGAAGAGCTGAGGGACAGTGCCCAGGCCCAGAGTTCAGGCCCACGACCGCACCCAAAAAAAAAAAAGAGTAGTTTGCTGAATCTCCTTGTCCTTCACTTTTTGACAGTTATTATACAAACTTTCCAGGGCATGGAGTTTTTTTTTCCAAAAACCCTGGCCTTCCCTTCATTCTAATCTTTGTTTATAGAGTATGTTATTTAACAATACTTAAGTATATTACTTCACACCACCTGACCCAGAAAATTAAAAACCGAGACCCCAAAATGTTAAGAAATTTAATAAAAGGTAACACAGCTGCTAAGCAATATGTCCAGATTTTCTCTCTATTTTTTTTTTTTTTTTGCCAGTCGTGAACTCTGGGCCTGGGCACTGTCCCTGAGCTCTTCAGCTCAAAGCAAGTGCTCTACTGCTTGAGCCACAGCACCATTTCCTGTTTTCTGGAGGTTCATTGGAGATAAAGAGTCTCATGGACTTTTCCTGCCCTGGCTGACTTTGAAAGGCAATAGTCAAAGTCAAATCTCAGCCTCATGAGTAGCTAGGATTATAGGCATTAGCCACTTGATTTATTTTGTTTCTTGATCCAGGGTCTTGGTAATGTATCTTAGGCTTCCAGTTTCAAATTCAAATCCACAAAGGCCTACTTTGAGATACTCTTTGTTGTTTTTTGGTTTTTTGGTTGGCCGTGGGGCTTGAACTCTGGGCTTGGGCGCTGTTCCTCAGCTCTTCAGCTCAAGGCCAGCGCTCTACTGCTTGAGCCACAGTGCACTTCCAGTTGGAGATGAGAGTCTCACAGACTTTACTTGCCCGGGCTGGCTTTGAACCATGATCCTCAGATCTCAGTCTCCTGAGTAGCTAGGATTACAGGTGTGAGCCACCAGTGCCCGGCCTAACTTGAGATACTCTTTCCTCAGCCTCCTATGTGCTAAGATTGCAGAGCACTACCCTTGACTTTCCTAAGGCTTTTGCTACTTATAGCTAACAAATTATAAAACAATTATCAGTTGGGAATTAATTTATTTAATTCATTATTCCCGGGGCAGGAAGGTTCTTTTCACTAAAACCCTGACCCATGACCTTCCCTGAGCCCTACTATTTTTTTTCTTTTAATCATATGTTGGAAATTATAATACAAAATAGTGAAGGCTCAGATGAGGAGTTTTTGTTTTGCTTTTTGGTAGTATTAGCTATGGAATCCAGAGTGTGACCATGCTAGACAAGCATGCTACACATCTCTAGTCTCAGGCTGGGAAAACTTAGCCACTAGAGGAAGGAGGAACCTTTAATCCATCTGACATTCTTTTGAGTTTGAATATGGCCTTGGTCATCCTTTAGCACAATCCTCCAAGCTGGTGTTAACAATCAAAGAGTTTTAGCAAGCAAAATGAACTTATATGTCAACTCAGGCTTAGCTAATATATTGAGTAGATAATCCAGTGTTGTTCTTGTCTGAGGTAATAGGATAGACTGTTTCTGATATCCTGCTCTACTTGTTTGATGCTTTTATTTAGTGTCTGTATGTTCAAAGATTTAAATAAACTAGTTATTCAACTCTTTGGAAATTGAAATACGTTTCATTGGATAGTAGTTCAAGTGTAATAATATCAGAGCATTTTAGTTCATTTCCTATATGTAAAACCACACCTCCATTCCTTTGTGGTGAATCTACTCATGAAGATGATATAAACAAACTCTTTGAAGCCTATTGAATAATAGAAGAGGACATGTCAAGAAAGTGCAATAGACACTAATCTGATAGGGAAACCCCTTTATACAATTAATATACCTTTGTGATAATGAATGGCAGAAATGTATAACAGTTTATGTAGGGGCTTGCATATCAGTGGAAATGGAGAGGGTGAATGAAGAGAGTGAAGAATGGTGAATATGGACAAAGTGCTATATAAATATGTACAAAAACAGAACAAGGAAACCTGTTGAAATTGTTTTAAGGAGGGAAGGGAGATGAAGAAAAATGATAAACAGATAAATTTGAGTACATTGCATGCATGTATAGAAATATAATGAACCCCCTATTACACCCAGCAAATACTAATAAAAATAATAAGTTATCATATTTTTTATTTGTAACCCATATTATCTTATTTAATTCCCCAGTAGGTTTATGAGGTCTTATTCTCATTTTGCAAATGAACAGATTCAGAGAAATTGTTATCCAAATGAAAGTTATTGAGTCATCTCTTCTGCCATTCTACTTAGATGCTATCTTTTTATAAATAGGAAGAAAATTGAGAAGCATTTAGTCTCAGACTTGAATTAACTAACGTGTTTGTTTTGGGGGACCATAGCTACATACAATGTAGGCAAGTGATTACATAATTTGTAAAACAAGGATACATACAGCTCACTTTGCAAAAAGACATATGAGACTAAATTTAGTGTATTTAGAGTTCTTGTTGAAAACATAGTAAAAACTTCACTACAGGCAGTAATGTTCATGGTAACACATGAATAACTTGTTTTCATATAGTTCTCATTTTCAATTAGACTGCTTAAAGAACTCAATAAAAATTAATATGCCATTTTGTGAGAGTGAAGCCATCAGATAAAATTGTTTTGCTTTTAAATTGCTGTTGAAATTGGTGGATTCATTCTTTCCCACAGGTACAGAAATGTCCAGAGTGAGGAGTCTCTTCTTACCCATCTGTTTATTCACCAGTGTCCTCATACACCATTCATTTCTACCCCTGGCTTGTGCTTTGTGTTTTTGAAAAACAAATCAAATTTGGAACAGAAACTTACGGTGTGACTTATTGGTTTTTATAGTCAAAATGATGAGTATCGTTTTGTGCATTTTACATAGAAAATACAGTGTTTCTATGAAGCTTCATAGTATTGATATAGTAATACTTGTTTTGGAGCTGGCGGTGTGGCTCAAGACTAGTAAATGCAAACACTTGAGTTCAAACCCCAGGACTGCAAAATAAAACAAAAGAAAGCTTGTCTTTGGTTGTGTAAAACAATTCTGTTGCTTAACTAATCCTTAAATTATTCTTTAATGTTTGGGAATTGTTGCTAGATTTGAATTTGCCTGAGGAATTAGATGAAAGACCTGTTTTTTTAAGAAAAAACAATTTTTTTTGCCAGTTCTGGGGCTTGAACTCTAGGCCTGGGTGCTGTCCCTAAGCCTCTCTGTGGGACAGTGTCACTTCAGGCTTTTTTTTTTTTTCTGAGTAGATTTATTGGAGATAAGATTTTCATGATCTTTCTCACACAGACTGGATTCAAACCATGATCCTCAGCTCTCAGCCTCTTGAGTTCCTAGGATTACAGGCGTAAGCCACTTGTGCCAGGCAAAAGAACTGTTTTAAGATAAAGTGATACTGTTAAATATTTGAAAATGTCTCAGGATAAGTGCACTTCAGTATTAATGTTTTCTCTTTTCTACTAGGTGCCTGTATTACTGCATATTGGAGATATGGTTCATGGCTTGGAGCAATCAGTTGTCCAATCTGTAGACAAACGGTAGTGTTTTAGAAAACATTTATGCTACTTTATGTTGTAAATTTTAATAGTGATTGTTATTTAATTTAAATATTTTGTACTAGCTCAATTTTTTTAATTTAATTATCTGTGATTTTAGTCAATTATAAAAAAAAAACCTCATCCTTATGACATGAGAATTTTTGTTTTAAATACTGTGGTTGTCATGAAAAACTAGCAAATTCGTCCTGCCCAAATCATGTCTTTCTTACCATACCAAAAAGGGAATAAATGAACTAAATAATTAATGTAAACATTTATTTCCCTATTTCCTTTACATTTTTATATACTTCCGATGCATTTCTTTTAGAAAAGAATTATTTTACCTTTTTCATTTATATTTAATATGCCTTGTTCTATCTGAATGTTGTATAAAGGAAACTATATAGTTATTTTATATGTGTACAAACACAGAGACCTTCCTCCTTTCTTCTTGTTTCATTCACATTTTTCTTTTTCTTTTTGCAGTCTTAGGGCTTGAACTCAGGATTTAGGTTCTGTCCCTGACCTTTTTTGATCAAGGCTAGTGCTCTACCATTTGAGCCACAGATCCACTTCCTGCTTTTTGGTGGCTAATTTGACATAGGAGTCTCATGGACTTTCCTGCTCGGGCTTGAAACCATGATCCTCGGTTCTCAGCCTCCTGAGTAGTTAGGATTATAGGCATGAGCCACCAGTGTCCGGCTACATATTCCTATTTAGTTAGAAGAAAATTGCTGTTTCTTTTATTGGCTCTATGGTTAATTTGATGTCTGAAACTAATTTGCCAATACTATTTGTCTTTTGTCACCTGCTAGCAACATAGAGATAAAGTAGTATGTATTGGATTAAAGAATTCTACCACCTGTCCCAAAGTGGAGAACTAATCTACATTGAGCTTTTCCTGACTCTACTCAGGGCCTCTCATTGGGCATAAGTATCTTAACAGACAGCACCCTGTGTATCACCTATCAGACTACAGGCTAGTATGGTAGAGATGAAGATGCCCTAGTATGATAGCTATTTGTTCCCTAATTGTAGTCATTCATCCTGGAGGCAAGACAGCTAGCAGATACTATTCCATCTTCTGTTTCACTGGGCTCCTGTAGTAAATAATCATAGAAATAATGCACAGGGTGCGGTCTCTTACTGCACATGACTTTGTTCTGTACAATAACACACAAACTATCCTACCCTCATTTCAAGGCTCAACTTTGCATTGTAAGCTTTCTGGACCCCAGAGACAGAAGTAGTCCTTACTCTCATATCATTGTTACACCACTACCCACAGTCCCATTTAACAGGCTGTAGAACAAGTCTGCCTCCCTTTATACTTTGGATATTGCGGTCATCCAGGGACAGGACCATGGCTTCTTTTTTTTTCTTTTCCTTTTTTTTTTGTTGTTGTATGTATGGCACTAACAAAGTGCCTGGATCATTATAGGTCCTCAATACCTATTGGAAAATGCTCTTCTTTTAGTTAATTGGTGAAGTTAGAAGTGGCTGTCAGTATCTGATGTCCCTACCACCTGCTATCTTTAATCACTCCTTCACTTAACTAGAGAGCATCTGGGACAGTGGGTAGCCTGATTTTATATCCTTAATTGAGGATATAAACAACAGCTAGACAATTTTAAATGAAATCTGTTACTAAATGAAATCTGTTACTATTCCTTCCTATTTTTTCCATCACATAACTTAGTAATAACCACTTTCTGTAGGCTATTACATTCTTTCTGTACGTGTGCATGTGCGTCCTGGGGTTTGAACTCAGGGCCTGCACACTGTTCCTGAGCTATTTTCTTCTAGCTTTTTGGTGAATGAGAGAAAATCCTCACAGACTTTCCTGCCTAGCTGGCTTTGAACTGTGATTCGCAGATTCCAGCCTCCTGAGTAGCTACAGTTATAGGCCTGAGCCCCTGGCAATTACTTTTTTGTTGTTGTTGTTGGTGGTGGTCATGGGGTTTGAACTCTGGGCCTGGGCGCTGTCCCTGCACTCTTCAGCTCAAGACAAGTACTCTACCACTTGAGCCATAGTAACACTTCCAGTCTTCTGGGTGGTTTATTGGAGATAAGAGTCTCACGGATTTTCCTGCCTTGGCTGGCTTTGAATCATGATCCTCAGATCTCAGCCTCCTGAGTAGCTAGGATTATAGGTGTGAGCCACCTGTGCCAGGCTGGCAATTACATTTTTTTATTGACCTTGGGACACTGTCCTTGCAACAGCCATGGATGAAACAAGGTGTTTTATAGCAATACCAAGAAATACATGTCTATTACAGTGTCTGAAAGTTAGTCCTTGAAATTAATCTCCACATTATTGCAGCACTCAAAGATATGTCAATTCCTGGGAAAATAAAGGATTAATGAGTCATTATTTTAATGCCAAAGGAAAAAAATGTGTCATTTCTTTCTGAAAGATATGTGTGTATATATATGGGGGGGAGGCAGAGAGAGAGACATATTTTTTTCCAGTGAGGACGTATCCCTAAATATTGATATTAGTAACACCTCATGAAATGGTATTTGGCATGTTATCACTTTGTTATTTAGTTTTGAAATTTCAGTATCCTCATCCCCTTCCATCTTAGCTACCATTCCCTACATAGATATAGTATGTAAAGATTCAATCTTACTTTCTATCCCTCCTTGTATCATGAATGTATTACTTAAATTTTTAAGTGAAATTTAAGCCTATTTAGAAAAATAGATTAGCTGGGTACAGGTGGTTCATACCTGTAATCAATCTTAGCTACTCAGGAGCTGAAATCTGAGGATCATTGTACAAAGGCAGCAAGGGAGGAAAGTCTATGAGATTTTTATCTCCAATAAATCACCAAAAAGCAGGAAGGGGTGCTACCTTGAGCAGAAAAAGCTAAAGGACAATACCTAGGCATAGTGTTCAAGCTCCAGTACCCACACGTTCCCCCTCTCCCCCCCCCCCCCCACACACAAAAGAGGATACGTATTTGTTTGTTTGGTTTTTGTCACTTTGTGCCATTTCTGGTAGAATCTTCCATGGGTAGCCCAAATATAAACTTAGACAAATGTTTTTCTCTCTATTACTAGGGTTTCTGCAATTGAGCAGTGGCTACCTACTTCTTCAGATGTAGGCAATATAGATTTGTTATTTATAGCTTGAACATAAAACACAGTGACTATAAAGGGGAATAGCAAACACATAGTCCTGATACCCTCAAAAGTTCCTTCTAGGTATATATTTTCTTTTTTTTGTTTTTGGGTCCGGTCGTGGAGCCTGAACTCTGGGCCTGGGTGCTGTCCCTCAGCACTTCAACTCAAGGCTAGCACTCTACCACTTGAGCCACAGCGCCACTTCCGGCTTTTTTCTTTTTGCTTATGTGGTGCTGAGGAATCAAACCCAGGGCCTCATGCATGCAAGTGGCTCTACCACTGAGCCACCTTCCCAGCCCCTTAGGTATATATTTTCAATGTCAATGAGTGTCTTCTCATCCCCCCCCCATCTTCAAATACACGTTCACCTAAACAGAGAGCTACTGAGTTCTTCCTTTATACCAGCAAGATGTTTATATTATGGGAATGCAAAATCACATTTCAAGTTGGAATTTTTATTTTGTTATTGTTTCATTGGGTCAGTCATGGGGCTTGAACTTGGGGCCTGGGAATTGTCCCTGAGCTCTTTTGCTCAAGACTAGGGCTCTACCACTGTGAGCCATAGCAGCACTTCTGTTTTTTTGGTGGTTATTTGGAGATAAGAGTCTCACATTTTCCTCTTGGGCTGGCTTTGGATTGCGATGCTCAGATCTCAGCCTCCTGAGTAATTAAGGTTACAAGTGTGAGCCACCAGCACCCAGCTTTGGAATTTTTATTATGAGGAAATAATAACTTATTCTCATGTTGCCTTTTTAAAAGACATGAATGAAATACACACTCAGAAGCTTTTCTATTCTGATAACACAAAGTAGAAAAAAAGTGATATAGAAGATATAACAACTTTTTTTTTTTGTTCTGTAATATGCAGGTAACTCTACTTCTAACAGTATTTGGAGAAGATGATCAGTCTCAGGATGTTGTAAGATTACATCAAGATATTAATGATTATAACCGGAGATTCTCAGGGCAGCCCAGATCTGTAAGTAGTTATTTCAGACTGAAGGAGCTTTTGTATTTCTTCCTTGAAAAGTGAGATGTACCAATCAATATTCTTTGACTATGAAAAAAAATCTCATTATGTGTGTTATGCTAAGTTTTTAACCTTCATCATGGTCACGGGCAATGACTTACAGCTTTCCTAAAAACCATAACAGTTTTGTCTTTCTCAAAAAACAAACACATGGGGCCAGGCACAGAGTCTCACATCTATAAGCCCAGCTATTCAGAAAGAGGGATTGAAAGGATCATGGTTTGAGGCCAGCTCATAAAAAGTTAACAAGACCTATTTTAAGCAATAAGCCAAGTATAGCAGTGTATGTCTATAATCCTAGCTACACAAGAGACATAGATAATAGATAGGAGGATCATGGTCTAAGGATGGTTCTGAACAAAAAACAACCACATGACCTTTTTATTTCCTCCCTAACAAGTGTGAAAGCTTGAGTTCAACTCCTAGTACTGCTAATTATATATATAATATTATAATTGCCTAATATATGATGTTATATATTAAATATTATGTATAATCTATATTAAATCTATATTGTATGTCATATATTATGTTACAACATATATTATGTATGATCTGAAATATATATCATGCATTATATATTATAGTATATAATACATATTGTAGAAGGAAATAGAAATATTTTTATTTATGATTCTAAATCAGTTTGTCTTAAGAGAAAGCTTGAAAATGAAAACTTCTAGAGAAGTTTTTTTGTTAGTGTTTTTAATTTAATCCTGTTTGAATGTTCCCTCAAATATCTCGATTTGGGGTTTCTGTTTCAACTTGGCTATCAGAACACATCATGCATGTGTCTGTGTGTACTAGGGCTTACCTCGGGGGCTCTCTCACTGGGCTTGTTTGTTCATGGCTGATATTCTATTTGAGCTACATTGCTAGTCCAAAAACACCCTACTTTTAAAATACACATTAATTCTATAGTTAAGCTCTCCTTCTCCTCAAAAAGCAGTCAAAAAATTAAAAAAGTATCACATTTTACTGACATACTAGTTTTCACAAAAATCTAACGAATGATTTTATACCTCAAAAACTAGAGTATGTCAAGAACAGGTTTCTACAGGAAGCCCATACTTTCTGAGCTTTAACTGTATAGCTAATAGTTCAGCAGACTTTTTACAATCACTTCAACATGGATAACACTGAACACATTCCTTCTTCTACTGCTTATTGTTCTGGGGTGTTTTTGTTTTTTTGGGGTTTTTTTGTTTGTTTTTTTGGTGCCATTACTGGGGTTTGAACTCAGAGCCTGGTTGCTGTCCCTAAGCTTTTGTGCTCAAGCACTCTACCATTTGAGCCACAGTTCTATTTCTGGCTTTTGGGTGGCTAATTGAAGATAAGAGTCTCATGGACTTTCCTGCCCAGCCTTGCTTCAAATTGCTATCTCTCAGATCTCAGGCTCCTAGTAGTTAGGGTTATAGGTGTGATCCACTGGCACCAGCATCTCATTCCTTCTTGATATGTTCTTTTTTCAATCTTGACATCATTTGTCTTATAAATAAGACCCATTATTTTTTTTTATGGATATCCTGCTTTTTTATTGTTGTTGTGTGACAGTTCTAGAGTCTGAACTAAAGGCCTCTAGCTCTCATTCACCTTTTTAAAAAAAGTTTTAAAACTTTACTTTTATTGTTATTATAAAGGGATTACTGCTTCATAAATCAGGTAATGAGTATGTTTCTTTTTGGACAATGTCACCCCTTCCTTCATTCTCTCCTAGTTTTTCCTTCCTATTTCTATCCACAAGTTCTATAGTTTATTTTTAACATGGTTTCTACTGAGTCCCACTGCTACATTTGTTCACTCTATGTCCCTCCATTTTTTTTTTTTTGGGTCCGGTCATGGGGCCTGAACTCTGGGCCTAGCGCTGTCCCTCAGCTCTTCAGCTCAAGGCTAGCGCTCTACCGCTTGAGCCACAGCACCACTTCCGGCTTTTTTCTTTTTGCTTATGTAGTGCTGAGGAATCGAACCCAGCAAGCGCTCTACCACTGAGCCACCTACCCAGCCCCTATCCCTCCATTTTTATCCTCTTCTCCCTTCCTCCCCTCCCCCCCCCCCTTATTCCCTCAAACAGGGAAAAATCAAGACAAAAAAGAAAAGAAAAAGAAAAAAACCTCTTGCTTCTACTTCCTGGAGTTCTTTTTGATAAATACCATTTTATATGATCAGAGGCACAGAGGCATTGCACCTTTGTTTTCCTTCCCTAAGTCTCCTCCTTTGGTCTCACTGAGTGTGAAGCCCTAGAGTCCTGTGTAATTTATTGTGTATTTTAGATCTAGCTTCTACATGTCTCATTCAGCTTTTATGTTCATACTTGGTGCTCTACCACTGAACCAACCACACCTCCAAGTCTGGCATTCTTACTAATGAATTGGAGATAAGAGTCTCAAAGACTTTTCATCCTCACTGGCTTTGAACACCAGCTCTTAGATCTCAGCTACCTGAGTAACTAGAATTATAGAAACAACCCACCAATGCCCAGTTTCTTGTCCAGTGATTGTGTTGTTCACAAAAATTCCTGTCTATTTTCAGTCACCATTGCCATCAGACTAGTCCAATCCACTATTGTCTCCTGCTCTAGATAGGTGTAGGAGCCTCCTCGCTGCTACTTTGGAATAATGTTCCCACTTCTTGCTATGCTTTAATGAGAGCTTTTTTGATCTGATCCTCCTTCTGCTCCATCTTGATCTGTAAGCCTTTCCCCTTTGCTGACCCATGCTTCTGCTACACAGCACCTTCCACATTCTTTCCACTTTTAAGACTTTCTTTTCACATGGCATATCCTCTCTGTGGAATGTTTGTCCCTCTGCTCTGCATATAGTCAGCTTCTTGTCTTGTAAATTATTCTCCCCAGGGGCTTCCCCTAACCAACTCCAGTACTCTATGTATTTCCTTCATACCATTTATCACAATAGTACTCAAACCTCATTTATCTTCTCATAGACTAAAAGCTCCAGAAGTACTATGCTTTTTACTACTCTATCCCTAATGCTATATACAATGCTTTGATACAGGCCCTTGATGTTTATTGAATAAGACAGTGGTATACTCTTAAGAATTGAAGCTGAGGCTGGGCACTAGAGGCTCAGGCTGATCGCAGTTTGAAGGCAGCCTGGGCAGGAAAGTCCATGAGACGCTTATCTCCAATTAACCACCAGAAACCAGAAGTGGCATCTAGCTCAGAGTGGCAGAGTGCTAGTCTTGAGGGCAAAAGCTCAGGGACTGTGCCCAGGCCCTATATTCAAGCCCCAGAACTGGGTAAAGGAAGAGAGGGCAGGGAATTAAGCTTAATCTGTGCCAGTGCCCATGATTGTGCTGAAAACATCCTGAGCCTCTTATCTCCAATTAAACACTGAAAAGTTGGAAGCGGCCTTAGGCAAATAAACTCAGAGGCAGAGCCCAGGCTCTGAGTTCAAGCCCCAGGACTGGCACCAAAAAAAAAAAAAAGAAAGAAAAGAATTGAAGCTGATAGCTTCAATCCCAGCACTCAGGAGGCAGAGAAGCAAGCCCAGAGACACAATGAAACCTGTATTAAAGAAATAGAAGTAAACAAACATGTGATTCTAGTGCTTCTAGCCAAAAATAATATTCTATTAAAAGCTTCTGTATTAAACAGATGTGTGGGGCTGGGAATGTGGCTTAGTGGTAAAGTGCTTATCTAGAAGCCCTGGGTTCAATTCTCACTACCATATAAGCAGAAAAGTCAGAAGTGGCACTGTGCTCAAGTGGTAGATTACTCACCTTGAGCAAAAGAAACTCAGGGACAGTGCTCAGGTCCTGAGGTCAAGCCCCAGGACTAGCAAAAAATAAAAATAAAAATTTATGTGTGTGTGTGTGTGCGTGCGCGCGCTCCAAGCCTGGGCTCTATCCATGAGTTCTTGTTCAAGGATAGCACTCTACCACTTGAGCTATAGTGCCACTTCTGGTCTTGTAGTGGTTAATTGGAGAAAAGAGTATCACAGACTTTCCTGCCCAGGCTGGCTTTAGAAGATCGTCAGATCACAGTTCTAAGATTACAAGCATGAGCCACCAGTGCCTGGCTCACCTTCTCTTTTGGCCCCTGCCTCTCCCACTGCTGCATGTTCCCCCATCATATACTTTTTCATCATTATTTTAGTGTATATTAATTATTAAAAGGTTTTTACCATGCCACCTCACACATGAATATGCTATATCTTAGTCACAATAAACTCTATCACTTTTTCCCTGTAACCCCTGCCCTGTTATTGTACAACAGCTTTCAGCATGATTCCTTATGCCATCTGTGTAAACTTATTTTTGGTGTGCTGTATGAAGTACTAAGTGTTACTATTTGGTTTTCCTCCCACCAGATTATGGAAAGAATCATGGATCTTCCTACGTTACTGAGACATGCATTCAGAGAAATGTTTTCAGTTGGAGGTCTTTTCTGGATGTTCCGCATTAGAATAATACTTTGTTTAATGGGAGCTTTTTTCTACCTTATATCACCTCTAGATTTTGTACCTGAAGCCTTGTTTGGTATTCTAGGCTTTCTAGATGATTTCTTTGTCATTTTTTTGTTGCTTATTTATATTTCTATTATGTATCGAGAAGTAATAACCCAAAGGCTAACCAGATGAAAAAGTTTTATAGAATAACTGAAACATGTAAAATTAAGCAAAAGGATTCACAGCAGTAGAAATCATCTAAATATTACCTTGCAAGCTTAAAAATATTATATATGGACATTTGGTTATCATTTGACAGATGCTTAGCAAAATATAACTGGAAATTTTACATTTACAAGTTCTAATGTTAAGATCAGAACTATAACAATCTACAGTTGTATCTCAATTCCAAGATGTCTGTAAAGTCTCTGGGAAAAAAGTGGAATTGTATAAGAAGGGATACTTTGATATATTCTTTTCCCCAAATTTCTGAGATTGATATATTGTATGATAATGTTAATGTAATTTAATCCATCCAAGTCATCCTTAGCGTACCTATACAATAATATATTGTTTTTCAACTCATCTAAATATTTTGTTACAATAAAATACTGTACAATTTGGGGAAAAGTCAGTGTTTCTTCTAGTACTTCTAGTTCTTTTGTGCATTTGGAGCAGTTTTGCTTTTCTGTTCTGGTATAATTATTTGTTATCAGCTGAAACTGAAAGAAGAAACATGAACACTATATTTGGCTTCATATTCTGGCTAAATAACACTTCAGTGAACAGAATTAACATTTATTTCCAAAAAACACTCTTGGTCTTCAGTTATGAAATCTAGCCAAGAATTTGACCTTTCATAGGAACAGATTAAAAGTAACTTGTAAAGGGAAATTGTTTTAGGAATCTAGGTAATGCTGCAATCACGTATCAGTTTAATGCTTTTTTAAGGAAACATCTTTAGCACCAAGACCCTTAGGAAAGTATTAGGAACAGTATTTAGATTTGACAAATTACTGGTGAACTCTAACAACAGACATGGAAATTTTTGGTTAGTTGTCTGTTGTCTGAAAACTTTTATAACCCTGCCTTTGTGAATCGCAGTTTTACATTTTCAAATTAAGAGAGAAAAACATTTCAGCTCAGTCATCAACTTGAAAAAGCTAAAATGACTAATTGCTTGTTACGCCAGACTGGAAAGAATTTCCTATCTAAATTTATTTTCTGTACATGTTTTCTGCTCTCAGTGTCACATTTCTGATTACAGTAATTTATTCAAATATTTGTAACTGCTACTAATACATACTTGTAGAGGTGTATTGTACAAATTTTGTAATATACAGTAACACTACATGAACTAGAGTCTTACTACACTGAAAAAGATTCTGTATTCAGAATCTTAGACCTGCTTTATAAGTCATTCTCACTGGTCACTGATGATACATGCAGAAGAGACCTGACAGTATTAAGCAAGTAGAGTTAATCAGTGTTTTAAACATAATAGTAATACTCTGTGTTCAGAGTTAGATCATATAAATTCAAAGCAACAATTTGGGCTCCTTTAAGATAACAATATTATCATTTGCAAATCAGATGGTCCAATCTCAGGAGCAGGGAATAACTGGAGCAGCTCTGTGGGGAATCAGAGGAAAACAACTGTTCTGACAACCCAATGCACCAGAACCGAGATTTCAGCTCCTACTTTTCTCAGCATCTGAGAGAAACCAGGGCAAGAAGGACCTGTACTGATCCCTGTGGCTATGCAGATAACTACCTCACAGAGTTGGAGCAGCGGTAGGGAACCTTTCTTCTGTCTAGGGCCATATTTGTAAAATCATTCTCAGACTGTACCACATTACCAATACAGGCAGACAGCCACCGGCAACTGTTAAGAATGATATGTCTGTTATATTAAGCACTGAATTATTCAGAAGGCCTTAAATGGCTCTCAGGCCAGAGGTTCCTCACCCCTGCACAGAGGATTCAAGGCTTGGTTCAAATGTGGTGATTTAAGAGTTTGTCATTATTCTTTGGAATAAAAGTGGTATGTTTAAAACCTTTTAAAATGTGCTATTTTCTGTCTTTTTGATAGTTTAACATTTAAGCTTTTTTCCCTGTTTTTTTTTGTTGTTGCTATTGTTTGGTGCTCAAGTGTGTGCTAGGCTTGAATTCAGGGCTTTGTGTTCTTTGGTTAGCTTGTCAGTGATGACACCTTCCTAATGAATCACACCTCCATACCTGGCTTTTTGTGGTTAATTGGAGATAAGAATCTCACAGGCCTGCCCAGGCTGGCCTCAAACTATGATCCTCAGATTTCAGTCTCCTAATTAGCTAGAATTAAAGGAGTGAGCCACGTGGCTGGGTTCTGCTGGGTTTATTTTTTGGGGACTTGAACTCAGGGGCAAGGCACTTTCCCTTTGCTTTTTTTTTTCTCAAGGTTGGCACTCTACCACTTGAGTTACATTTCTACCTCCAGCTTTTTGCTGGTCAATTGGAAAAAAAAAGTATCACAGACTTTCCCGCCCAGACTGACTTCAATAACAATCCTTAGTTCTCAGCCTCCTAAGTAGCTAGGAATACAGATGTGAACCACTGGTACCTGGCCTTATACTGGGCTTTAAACTTGGGGCCTTGGGTTTGTTAGGAAAGCATCTACAGTCTATCTCTGGCCGAAAATTTAGAGATCTTGAAATAGTATTGATTATAATGGTCATCATGACTTCTTAAAATAGGTCCTTTTTATTATGGCTTGTACATAATTGTGTATATTTTATTTCTAAACATACTCCTCTATAGGAGTATTATCCCAAAGTATATGTACTGCATTATAATGGACATTTTAATGTATTTATTCAGTGTTAGTTTGAGGTATATGTGAGTTTTCTCCTAAGTACTGACCCTGGAACATAACTCTTGGATTAAGCTGCAACTCAACTCTGTATATACAATGGACTACACAAAGGGAAAAAAATCTTTCCCTTTCATTAAGCTAACTTTAAATTGATAGATAATTGAACATGTTTATGGGCCACATGCTGATGTTTCAGTGTATTATGTATTAATCAACTCAGGATATTGAGTTTCCCCTATGTAAAACTTATTGTTTTGGGATGAAAACATTCAAAATCCTCTCTTCTAGCTATTTTGACTTAACTAATACAACACTTAACTATACAACTTGTGAGTGGGATGGGAAAGAAAAACTAGGAGGGAAGGGGTAACACTGTCCAAAAAGACATGTACTTATTACCTGACTTGTGCAACTGTAACCCCTCTGTACATCTCCTTTAGAATAACAATTTCAAAAATTTTAAGTAAAATAATTTATTGAATTTTTCTTTAAATATATGCACAAAGAGGTCTACATTTAACACATTAGTTTATGAGTATAGCGCATCCTGTTCTATTCTCCCTCCCATCCCTCTCAGTCCTGTCCACCATCGTTAGTCTACAAAGTAATTTTTATTACCTTTAAGTAGTCATACAAAGGGGTTTCAATTCAACATATTAAGAGTACAATGCATTGTTTTAAATTTTTCTGTAGTGGTACTGGGGCTTAGACTCAGAGCCTCATGCTCTTGGTTAGCGTATGTGTGTGTGTTTGCGTGCGCACGTGTGCACACTGGTCCTGGGCCTTGAATTCAGGGCTTGGGTACTGCCCTTGAGTATTAATACTCAAGGCTAGTGGTCTACCACTTGAGCCACAATTCCACTTCCAACTTTCTGGTGGTTAATTGGAAATTAAGGGTCTCATGGACTTTTCTGCCCCAGCTGGCTTTGAACTTGATATGAGGATATCTCAACCTCCTGAGTAGCTAGGATTACAAGTATGAGCTACTGGTGCTCACAAGTTAGCTTTATTTTTTCTTCAAAACTAGCACTCTACCACTTCAGCCACACCTCTACTTCCAGCTTTTTGCTGATTAACTGGAGTAACTGGAGGTAAGAGTCACATAGACTTTTTTGCCCTACCTAGCTTGGATCCACCCATCCTCAGAGCTCAGCCTCCTGAGTAACTATGATTATAGAAATGAGCCACTGCCATTTGAGTACAGTGAATGTTGATCAGTATCACCCCTTCCATCATTCTCCCCCAGCTCTCCTAATCTCGCCTATCCGCTCAAGCAACCTGGTTTATTCCATTGTTAACATTTGATTTGTTTCCAGCATTTAAAAAAATTTAGTTGCCCATTTATTTTTGTTTAATTTTTAATTGTTATTCCAAAGGTGATGTACAGAGGGATTACAAGTCAGGTAATGAGTACACTTAATTTTACCCTTTCCCTCCCTTTCTCTCAGTTATTACCTCCTGTTCCCACCATCTAATGAGTACTACTGCTGCATTTGTTCACCTTTTGTCCCTCCATTTCTGTGTCCTCCCTTTGCCCTCCCCAAAGACAGATAAACGAACAAAAAAAGAAAAACAAAAAAAACCCCAAACCCCTTGTTTCCATTACTTGGATTTCATTTCAATAAATATTATTTTATATGCTGAGAGGCACATAGGCATTATGCATTTGCGTTCTTCCCCTAAGAGTATCCTCCTTTGGTCTTACTGTGTGTGGATGCTTAAAGTCCTATATAATTTATCATTTCCAGGTGCCCATCATTTTTTTTAATTGACCAGAGAATCATAATCACTTAACAAGTAACAACAATCATTCCAATCTTAAGAAATGCTAAGAAGAAATGAGTAAGCTAGAAAAGAGGAAAACAGCAAGTACTGTTTGGTTAGCTTGCCTCAGTCCACTCTAGCCACATTAAGCTCTGTCATTTGTTAGACAGGCAAAGAACACTGAGACTCAGGGGCTCTGCCTTAGCTACATGCCTCTAATTCCAAGTTTCTTCCCCCAGACACCTTCAGAGTTAACACTAACCAATTCCAAATTTAGCTTGTCACTTCCTCTACAGGTCAGTCCTGTTCATTATTATTGAAAATTGCCACTTCTCCATGAAGCACCTTTCACCCAGTAAAGTATTATGTAATCACTTGTTTTGGTCTGTTTACCCTTATCCCCACTAGGTTTTTGACTCCATAAAGGCAGAACTTGTAATGTATCCCAAGTGACCAGAATTGTGCATTAGCACAGGAGTTCAATAAATGTTACCTCTGTTGAAGAGTAAAAAATATCAGTGACCTCTAAATATTTTTACATCAATCTGTTATATTCTACAATATTGCACAGTGACAACAGAGAGATTATTCTTTTAATAATCCTGGAAAAACTAGTAATAAACTACTATTCAGGTATTAGCTTTGAAACTTTAGGTACAAAGTTTCTTGAGTCTTTAGATTTATTTAACTGACCGATTGCAAGATTAAGGAACACATCTGTTTTGATGAAGACATATGAAAGCACAATATGGCTCACAATTGGGCAAGATTTCACTGGAACAGGAGGGACCTTAGTGGTGGAGGATACACAAAGAGGATAAGGAAAGTTTGTCAGCAAAGATAACACTTAGGCTATAGCTTAAAGGTGGACAGGGCATTTCAGAATGCCATTTCAGGTGAAGGGGCATTTCAGATCAAGTTAAACTGCCTGTTTAAAATTTACACAAACTAGCCGGGCACTGGTGGCTTGTTCAAGAACAAGTGTGTGTGTGTGGGGGGGGGGGGGGGGGGAGGCTGGGAAAGTGGCTCAGTGGTCGAGCACTTGCCTTGCATGCACGAGGCCCTGGGTTCGATTCCTCAGCACCACATAAGCAAAAAGAAAAAAGCCGGAAGTGGCGCTGTGGCTCAAGTGGTAGAGCACTAGCCTTGAGCTGAAGAGCTGAGGGACAGCGCCCAGGCCCAGAGTTCAGGCCCCACGACCGGACCCCCCTCCCCCACCAAAAAAGTGGGGATGGATACAAATGTTATGAAAGTGACAGAAAACACAGCACTTATATCTATATGTATGTGTGGGCAGCGCGCGCGCGCACGCCTCACACTCTGACTCTGCTTTTGACTGTTTCTTTGCCTGGGCTAGCATCGAACGTCAATATTTAGATCTCCGTCCCGAGCAACTTGGATTAGAGGTGGGGACACCAGTGCCTACCCTCGTATCTTCTTTCACTGCTAAAAAATAATCTGTCACCTATGGATTCTCGGGGACTTCAGATACCTGAAGACACATATAACAAATACAGATTAACAGTCTGGAACTGTAGTCCACAGTTTTTCAAACCACACAGCATCTTCTCAGTAGCTCTTTTAAAGAAATGAGGAACCTGGCGCCGGTGGCTCACGCCTGTAATCCTAGCTACTCAGAAGGCTGAGATCTGAGGATCACGGTTCAAAGCCAGCCCGGGCAGGAGAGACCGTGAGACTCTGATCTCCAATAAACCACCAGAAAGCCGGAAGTGGCGCTGTGGCTGTAGCGGTAGAGCGCACGCCTTGAGCTGAAGAGCGCAGGGACAGCGCCCAGGCCGAGTTCAGCCCCTCGACCGACCAAAAAAGAAAAGAAAAGAAATGAGGGCAATAAAACGACGGCCTCGGTACTACACCTTTTTTTTTTTTTTTTTTTAAGGCCACAGCCCCAACACAGCCCCCCCCCCCAGCCCCAATTCCGGATATCACCACCCAACAGAACACCGCTACCAGCGGAAATCCCGCCCCGGTATCAACACCCCCTTACCAAGCCTTCTCCCGCCCCTCCCCATCCTCCAACAAGCCCTTACTTCCTGCCGAAAGCACGGAGACCCCGCCTACTTCCGCCAGGATGACGCAGCCGTGCGTGCTTCAGCCAATGGTATACCTCGCAAGAACCGTTGCCTCTGACCTCTGGGCTAATCAAGACCAGAGACAAAAACTCGCGAGAGGTGAGGTTGAAGCTGTCTCCGCCATCTTGGAGATGGGTGCTAGCTGTGGTCCTTCTGTTAATCCAAACAAAAAAGACGGGCACCGAAGTTACCCCTCACTCTCCCGTCAGGTTATCATCACGGTTAATTGTTAGCCAAAGCTACATAAGAAGCGAGCTTGTGAAGGCCGGAATCAGCGACATTGAGGGCCGCTTCACCTGCCTTCTGGGAGGCAGAAGTGAAGTGGCTGAGGACCGGAAGGATGGTGCAGTCCTGTTCTGCCTACGGCTGCAAGAACCGATATGATAAGGATAAGCCGGTTTCTTTCCACAAGTAAGTAGCCTGCGCCCCTCACGGGTCCGTCCCACCTGCGGCGGGGGGCGCGCGGCCGTTTGGGCGGGGTGGAACCGGCGCGTGTCCGCGCGAGACCTGACGAGAGGAGCGGGGCGGGGCCTCCCGGGCGCGGCGGCGGGCGTGTCGTGCCGGGCTGCTGCCACCCAGCCGCAGCGACAGTGCTGACCCGGTCTTCCTTGTGGCAGTTGCTCCGGCTCTGAGTAGGCTGTGGAGTGCAAGGTCAGCCTGGAGTTGGCGAGTTCCCAGCCATGGGTTAAGCCTCACGGTGACGTGGAGAGGCCAGGTGGTAATAATTCCTTAGGAATAAACTTGAAACAGGAACAAAGACTTGCAAAGAAGTCACAGTTCGTTCTTGCTCTGCAAGGCAGGTGTATGGTAAAGCCATTAAGGATTGATTTGCCGGCGGTTTGGATTCTTGGACTTAGTGTCTTGGAACTACACCAAACCAGGAGTGGTGCACGCCGTTAGTCCCACACTGGTGTGGGAGGTGGAGACAGAAAGATCTCCCAATTCCAAGCCAGCCTGGGCTATTTAGGGAGACAACAAAATGATGGCTCATGTTGTTATTCTAAGTACTCCGGAGGCAGAAATCTGAAGATCGCGGTTAGAAGCCAGTCAGAGCCGGAAAGCCCGGGAGCAGTGTCTCAACTGGTAGTGCCAGCCTTGAGCAACACACACACACACACACACACACACACACACACGCAACACAAGGATAAAGCCCAGAATTCAAGCCCCAAGACTGGCACAAAAAAGTGTTAGTCCAAAGCCATTAATTTTTTTTTCTAGGAACCACCTTTCTAGGTTACCAATACTAAGTCGTTAAAGAAAGTTCCTGATACTGCCAAAACGAATCATCTTTTAACACACAATAATGATAATATGGACAATAACCACAATAATTATAATCAGCTGCTGACTAAAGGTGAACCTGAGTTATTAGGAACCTGCCCCTCACTTTTCAGGGCTATTTGATGCTTGAGGCACATCAGGTACCTTGAAAAAGAGAAGAAAACTATAAAATTGAAATTACTTAATAGCAAGTGGTCTGCCAATTCAGTGTTTACAGATGGGCTTGTTAGATTCTTCAGAAAAAAAAAATCTGTATGTGGATATACCTAAGAAATCAGGCAGTCACTAGTGGTTCACACCTGTAATCTTAGCTATTCAGGAGGCTAAGATCTGAGGATCACAGTTCAAAGGCTAGTCCGGGCAGGAAAGCCCATGAGACTCTTATATCTAGTTAACCACCAGAAAACTGTAAGTAGAGCTTGGGTTCAAAGTGGTGGAGTGCTAGCCTTGAGTGAAAAGCTCAGGGACAGCACCAAACCCACCCTATGGCCAAACACACACACACATACACACACACACACACACACACACACCGATTCAGATTTATATAACTTACCATTCAGAAATGGTAAATTATAGAAATCATTCATAGTTAGGTAATTACAAAATCAAATTTAATTTTTTTGATAGGGAACCATTTTGTCTAATGGAGTATGTCATAACTGGGTCCATGTCCTGTATGCTTGTAGAGAACTAGTACAAGGCCCTGTGTTCAATCTTCAGTACTGCCGAAAAAGGAGAGATGAGGGTGCTGTAGTAAACCACCTAAGTATTCTATTCCCTTCTCTGGGAAATATGTCAGCACTCTGGGGCTATTTCTATGTACTCTTATTTAGGTAGGGTTCTTTTCAATTGATATGTTAGTTCAACTAATCCTAAGAGAACTAGAAGGTTCGTTTCTCCAAAACATAGACATATGTCACTTTTGTTTTCCTGTGTTGTACACAGAAAAACCACTGGTAAAATTATCAATATGCTTTCATTATAATATAGTATATCTTCTACTTGGACTTTAAGTGGCTTAAGTATAAAAAGTTAAATACCATTCATTGAGTTAAGTAGTAACCAGAGCTAGTCTTTTATGAAATACTCCTTAGTTTGTTAACACCAATGTAAGTTAGTTCTTACTAATTTGTGTACTTTTATTTATGAAATAAGGTCATAGAACTGAATTATATTTTTTCCTTAGGTTTCCTCTTACTCGACCCAGTCTTTGTAAAAAATGGGAGGAAGCTGTCAGAAGAAAAAACTTTAAGCCCACCAAGTACAGCAGTATCTGTTCAGAGCACTTTACTCCAGACTGCTTTAAGAGGGAGTGCAACAACAAGTTACTGAAAGACAATGCTGTACCTACAATATTTCTTTGTACTGAGCCACATGATAAGGTAATACTTGCTTTAAAATGTTGGTCATTTACTAGGAACAATTTGAAAACTCGAGGTAATGGTAAAGAAAACAAGTATAAACTGGGTGCCAGTGGCTCATGTTTATAATCCTAGCTACTCAGGAGGCTGAGCTCTGAGGATCACACAGTTTGAAGCCAGCCAGGGCAAGAAAATCCATGAGACTCTTATCTCCAGTTAACCATTGAAATGAAGCTGTGGCTGTGGTTGTAGAGAGCGAACTTTGAATAAAAAAAGCTCAAAAACAGCACCTAGACCCTAATTCAAGCCACAGGACCAACACAAAAACAAAAAAACAAGTGTCATCAATTGTAACTAACAATTGTTAACAGTAATAGACTTTGAAAACAAAATGCTTTTTATTTAATATTCTTATGTGTGTTCACTTTGACAGAATATATCCTAAAATTGGAAAGATACAGAGAAATTTATAATGGCCTCTGTGCAAGGGTGACACACAAATCCCTAAAGTGTTCTTTTTTCTTTTTGTGGCAGTCCTAAGGCTTGAACTCAGGGCTTGGGACTGTCCCTGGGCTTGTTTGTTCAAGGCTAGCACTGTACAACTTGAGCCACAGCTCTTTTTTTGGTAGTTAATTGAAGATAGGAGTTTCATGGACTTATCATCCCTGGCAGGCTTTGAAATATGACCCTTGGATCTCAGCATCTTGAGTAACTAGGATTATAGGTGTGAGCCACTGGCTTTTGGATGTATTCCATATTCTTAAAGCAGAAAATAATACATCCTTATGCTAAGAAACTCAGTCTAGCTTACTCTATACTCTTATATTTTGGTAGATTTTTGTTTTTCATTCTATGATAGTTTAGTTCCAAATTATTTTCTTTTCTTCCAAATTAAGTGTTTCAGTATTTAATTAAATGTAACTCGTTACTTTATTTCTTGTTTCCATACAATAAAAAAGTCAAGACAAACATTCTGATTTGGTTGTGGTTTGAACTTGGGAAACTGAGGCAAGAAGGTCAAGAGTTCTGGGCTACACATAATGAGACTCTCAAACCATTCAAGTATTCCCAGAAGCTACTGAACCCATTGGGCTGTGTGTGCAGTTCAGTGGCAGTGCATTTATACGCAAATGTGATGCCCTGGGTTTTACCTCCAGAACTGCAAAGTAAATAAAAAGAAATAGAAACCATTTTCTTATTTAGAATGTTTCTATATCACAGAGTCACGTGCCCCAAAGAACAAAAACCAAACCAAATTAATAGATTTCACAGATGATTTGTTTAAGCAGTTATTTCTAGTTACACACATCCTCTTATTGTTGCAGAAGGAAGATCTTTTGGAGCCACAAGAACAGCTTCCCCCACCTCCCTTAACACCTCCCATTTCGCAAGTTGATGCTGCTATTGGCTTATTAATGCCTCCTCTTCAGACCCCTGATAATCTCTCAGTTTTCTGTGACCACAACTATACTGTGGAAGATACAATGCACCAAAGGAAAAGGATTCTTCAGCTAGAGCAACAGGTTGAAAAGCTCAGGAAGAAGCTCAAGACTGCCCAGCAGCGATGCAGAAGGCAAGAAAGACAACTTGAGAAGTTAAAGGAAGTTGCACACTTTAAGAAAGAAAAAGATGACATTTCAGAAAGAGGTTATGTGATTCTGCCAAATGACTACTTTGAAATTGTTGAAGTACCAGCATAAAAAGATGAATGTGTATTGATTTTTAATGGGGCAAGACCTCTTTAGTCTAAACAGGATTTTCATCTGAAAACCCAACAGTTGATTACTTGTATAAAACAATTCATACTATTTTTTAAAAATAAATTAGATATATAAAGTTTTTGGTTGTAATTTCAGAGTTTTTACATTTTAACAAACTATTTAAAAAGTTACATTAAAAAATACACATTGCCAATGTAAGTTGGTTTCAAGATTGGAGATTTTTCTCTTAAGTATTTATAGAAATAATGTACAAACAAAGAGTAGAATGATAGTGCAGTAAAGATGATTTAAGTTTAGAATTTAAAATGAATGTTCTTTATTGACAGAACTTGCTTATATTTTAAATCATGACTATGGGAATATGTAGATGTATATACACATACTTGTGGTCAGAAGGTTGGTTTATTTTTCTGAATCACTTGTCAAGGATAAATTGACAAGTATTTGAAAAAGACATTTGAAAAAGACATTTGGCTGTTAGAAAAGTCATTTCATCTCTAAATAAATTCATAAAGGACAGATTTTTTCAATGTAGACCCTTCTTTTCTACCCTCGCATTTTAAAATTAGAAGTGTATCTTCAGTGGAAAAACAAAATATGGCACTATTGTCAGTGAAATAAAGATTTGAACCTAATCCATGATATTCATTTTTCTCTTAACCCTGGCTAAAGGACATCTAGTTTCCCACTGTACTTATATCTACCCAAATGTGTTCTGTTTGTAGAGTTTAGTTTCTGTCATAATACAGAAATATTGAGCTAGACTAATTTTTGTTAATACTTAACATAAAATTATTTTTTTACTTTCAACTTGTTATTTATTTAAAGTGACATATTCAAAAGCAACCTGATATGTCATGTTTATACTGAATGTTGAGATTTAAACCATTTTTCATTCACACTGAATTGTTTTCTTTATGAGAAATTTTAGGTATTATTTGAAATGAAAATACGTTCTAAGTAAACAAGTACTGCTGCAAGAGTTATCTATATAAAATTAGAATAACTGTCCCAATTATAATAACTTTATACTTTGAAGTATACTGATATAGTTTGAGTTAACAGACCTTTTCTGACAGTATTAAAGATAGAATAATGATGTTCAAAAATGTCTTGTAGACCTGATTTTCATTTCATTGCAATCCAATTGACAGTATTTAGCACTTTTGACTCATGGAGAATTGATATTGTGTGAACCAGCACCTCAAAAATAGAAAATAATGATTACATTATTTATACTTTCTGATCATATGGCTTAGAACTAATGAATGAGAACATTCAATGGTTACTTAAAGAACTCAACTGTTTTTAGCTTAAAAATATTCAGCTACCTCATTATTATGATTCAACTCTTACAGTTCCTCAAAAATATGTAGACTAATATTGTACAAGTGTGTATTGTCAACTAATTTGTCTTCTAACACTCTGTGTGTGTGTGTGTGTGTGTATGTGTGTGTGTGTGTGTGTGTGTGTGTAGAACCAAGAATCTAAATTAGACTATAAGTGTAGTAATTATAATTATTTAGCATCTTATTATTATTATTTAACCTGAAGCTACTTTCTCTTCATGCCCGACATATATCCCCATTTGGAAAGGACTGAGGAAGCATCTTGTTTGTATACCAAGTGTTTGCATTTGAATAATTTAGCCTAGGGAATTTGAAATATAGGCACTTCTGAAATGTGATGTAACATTGACATCATTTTTTTGTTTTTTTGACCAGTCCTACCTAGGGTTTAAACTTTGGGCCTGGACACTGACCTTTTTGCTCAAGGCTAGTGCTCTATAACTTGAGCCACAGTGCCACTTCTGGCTTTTTCTGAGAAGTGTTTGGAGATGAACAGACTTTCCAACTTGAGGTGGATTTGAACCTCGAGTCATGAGCCACCAATGTCTGGCTTGCCAAATATTTTAGAATTCATTTTATCTATTGCTTATGACATTGTTCTCCCCCCCCCCCCCCCCCCCCAGGATACTCAGGCTAAAATAAGTCCTTTTTCACACACTGAAATTTACTCTGAAACAAATAGGGGCAAGATGCATTCTGAAATACATAAGAATGCAGCATATTCTCAAAGTTGACATTTTAAGCACATATAGTAAGCTAATTTTTATTGATATGTGACATACTCTGGTAGTAATGACAATAAATGTTTCTTAGTAAAATTGCTAAGAGAACTTAGGAGAATCACAGAAAACTAAGAGAACTAAGTAGAATCATAGACTTTTATAATTGGAAGAGTTTTAGAAATTCTCAAACATTCATCTAACCTGAGAGTTCCATGGGATTACTTTTCTTTTTATCATTTTGCAATACTGGGGATTCAACCCAGATGTTATGTTTCTAGTCAAGCAATCTACTGCTTGAGCTATTTCTCTAACTCTGTTCTTTTTTTAAAGAAAAATGTTTTGTGATTATAAAGGTGATATACATGGGAGTTACAGTTATGTAATTAAGGTAAAGACTTTATTCTTTTTAGGAAAACATCACTGTGCCTTCTCTCAGTCTCTCAGTTTTTCCCTCCTGTCCCCACCTACAAGTTGTATAGTTCATTTTCAACATAGTGTCTAGTGAGTACCACTGCTGCATTTGTTCACCTTTTGTCCCTCCATTTCTGTACTCCCACTTCTCCTCCTAAAGACAGATAAATGAACAAGACAAAAAGAAAACAATAGCAATGAAGGAAAATCCTCTTGTTTTCATTTCTTGCAGTTCATTTTGATAAATATTACCTTATATGATTAGTTGCACGTAGGCATTGTGTCTTTCTGTTCATCTAAGAATATCCTCTGGTCTCACTGTGTCAATGCTAGTGTTCTGTATAAGTTATTGTGTCCCAATGTGTTTTAAGTCTAGTTTCTACATATGAGAGAAAACATGCTTTTTGTGTCTCTGAGCTTGGGTTACTTCACTTAACATGATTTGTCCTAGGTCCATCCATTTCCCTGCAAATGATGTAATATTTCTAATGGCTATGTAAAATTCCATTTTGTAAAGGTAACACATTTTTGGGAGGTCCACTCAGCTATTGTAGGGCACTTATTTATTACAGCCTGTTTCCATAATGTGGCTATTGTGAATAGTGCAGCAATGAGTATGGATGTGCAAGTGTTATTTGTAAGCATACTGCCTCTCCCTTTCCCTTGGTCTACCTCAAACTTAGGACCCCTCTGTCTCTAACTTGCAATGTACACCGCCATACCCAGGCTAAAAGAAAGAAAGAAAAATTCTCTTCTATGACATCCTTCAAAAGTGGCTATTCTGTTTATATTCTGTATTATTCATTTTGTTTGTTATGGTTGTTATTTGATTATTGAAGCAAATACTCTGTTTATAATGAGCTTCAACTGCTATCCCTTAAAAAAATTTTTTTTTGTATGTGTGTCTATCTGTCCTGATGCTTGACTCAGACCCTGGGTGCTGTCTCTAAGCTTCTTTTGCTGAAGCCTAGTTCTCTATAACTTGAGCCACAGCCCCACTTCCAGCTCTCTTTGTAGTTTATTTTTTATTAACATATATCAATTGTACACAGGAGTTTCATTGTGATATTTCCATATATATACACACTATTACCTCTTTTCCCTTTTAAACAATATTAAGTGAATTACATTTTTTTCACACATTCATGTGAAATACTTTGATTATATTCACCTCCCTCTCTCCTCCCACTACCATTTTAAAATAATTTTTTATACTGCTGATATAAATTATTTGACCTGCTTGGCTTGAACTATTGCATTGTAAATTGAGGTTTTAAATTTTAAAAGTAATTGTTTAGCTCTGCACCAGTGGCTAACACCTGTAATCCTAGCTACTCAGGAGGCTGAGGTCTAAGGATAATGGTTCAAAGCCAGCCCATGGAGGAAAGTCCGTAAGACTTTTGTTGTTGTTGTTGGTTGTGGGGTTTGAACTCTGGGCCTGAGCGCTGTCCCTCAGTTATTTAGCTCAAGGGGAGCACTCTACCACTTGAGCTACAGCACCACTTCTGGTTTTATAGTGGTTTATTGGAAATAAGAGTTTCACGGACTTTCCTGCCAGGCTGACTTTGAACCTCGATCTTCAGATCTCAACCTCTTGAGTAGCTAGGATTACAGTTGTGAGCCACTGGCGCCCAGCTAAGCCATGAGACTTATCTCCAATTAACCACCAGAAAACTGGAAGTGGTGCTGTGGCTCAAGTGGTAGAGTTGCTTGCCTTGAGCTGAAGAACTGAGGACAGTGCCCAGGCCCAGAGTTCAAGCCCCACAACTGACCCCCCAAAATTATTTATTGCTAGGCATCAGTGACTCACACCTGTACTCAAGAGGCTGAGATCTGAGGATCACTGTTAGAAGCTGGCCCAGGCAGAAAACCTTATATAAAATTAACCATCAGAAAGCCAGAAGTAGAACAGTGGATAAAGTGGTAGAGCACCAGCCTTGAGCAAAACAATTCAGGGCCCAAGGCCAGAGTTCAAGCTCTGAACCAGCACATACACAAAAAGTGTAAATGCTTATTGTATGCCTGTTACATGTACATAAAGTAATTCTGCCACTGCAGCAAGAACATAAGTATAACTTTCTATTTAGAAATCCAAAACCATTAAGTGATTTTTTTGTTCTAATTTATTGATTTTCCTAAAAGGATAACAAAAAAGGGTGAAAGCAAATGACAATGACAGATTTTTTTTTTTTTTTTAGCTATATACTCCCTTTAGGTATCCAGAACTTTCTACATTAGATGAGGAGTAGGGGATGTACTTATATTTATATATACTACATTAGTTGTACAATGGGGGTTTTATTGTGACATTTTGTACACATAAACAATATATCCATCAACTTTATCCCCTTGATATCATTCTCTCCCATCTCAGTCTATCTTAAATGAATAACAGGTTTCATTGTCCTATATTTACACAAACTACATTAACCATATTCATCTTCACTCACCCTCTTCATTGGCTCTTCCCCCTCTGGCTGGTATCCTAACCCCCATTTGAGCCTGTTTTACTTTCATCTCTTTTTGAGTGTGTATTAATTGTACCAGGGGTACTACACCTGAGTTTTTTTTTTTGGCCGGTCATGGGGCCTGAACTCTGGGTCTAGGCGCTGTCCCTCAGCTCTTCAGCTCAAGGCTAACGCTCTACCACTGGAGCCACAGCGCCACTTCAGGCTTTTTCTGTTTATGTGGCGCTAAGGAATCGAACCCAGGGCCTCATGCTTGCAAGACACGCACTCTACCGCTGAGCCACCTTCCCAGCCCCAAACCTGAGCTTTTTTGCACAAGGCTAGTGCCCTGGTGCTTAAGCCACTTCTCCACTTCTGACTTTTTGGTGATTAATTGGAGATAAGAGTTTCCTGCTTGGGCTGACTTTAACACTGAGCTTTAGATCTCAGCTCCTGTGTAGCTAGGATTACAGGCAGGAGTCACCAGTGCCTGATTTATACTAGTTTTAATAAATATAAAAAGGCCCAGCCTAGAAGTTTTTTTGTTTTTTTTTTTTGGGGGGGGTCGGGTCGTGGGGCCTGAACTCTGGGCCTGGGCACTGTCCCTCAACTCTTCAGCTCAAGGCTAGTGCCCTACCACTTGAGCCACAGCGCCACTTCCAGCTTTTTTCTTTTTGCTTATGTGGTGCTGAGGAATCGAACTCAGGGCCTTAGGCATGCAAGGCAAGCGCTCTACCACTGAGCCACCTTCCCAGCCCCCCAGCCTAGAAGTTGAAGGCAGGAAGCAACTGAAAAAGCATTTGAAGTTTCTCCATTTAAATGCTAAGTTACAAGGCCTGGGAGATTTAAAAGGAGCTACTGAAATGGTAGAATACCTGCAATTCTGCAAAAGACTAGAGAGCCATTGGGAAAGGAAGGTCTAAAACTCACCTACTAAGTTTTGGATAGGCCTTAGAAACATCTCATATTTTAGAATAATAAGTATTAACACCCATCTTAGCCACCCAGAACCATTGTCAAGGAGACCTGGAGTTCATTTGCACCAGGATGACAGAGCTAGAGCATAGAAATTTTATGTGGTAAATAATAGGCAATGAAAGCATACAGAATGTGAGAGGATTTTTTGCCAGCTATGCATCAGACAAGGACCTAATATGCAGAATATACATAAAACGAAAAATCATCAAAGAACAAAAAACCCATTTACTTCTCAGAAGAAGGTACTCTTTAAGCCATTAGTAGTTGATGCCTGAATAAATGCTCAGTATCTCTGGCCATAAAGGGAATGTGAATCAAAACAATACTGATATTCCATCTCATTTTCTTGACCACTGTAAGAAAACAAACAGTAACAGATGCTGGCCAGGATTCAGCCAAAAGTGAACTCTAATACACTGTTGGTGAGAATGTAAGCTTGTTCAACCTCTCTGAGAAGTAGTATGGAGGTTCCTCAACATAGAACTGCCCTATGGCCCAGCAATTCCACTCCTGGGCATTTATCCAAAAGATTGCAAATTAGGTTACAGAAAACTCACAAGTACAACCAGGTTCATCGCAACACTGTTCACCATGGTCAAAATATGAAATTAGCCCAGATGTCCCTCAGTAGATGATTAGATCAAGAAAATGTGATGTATATACACAATTGAATTTTATTCATCCATTAAAAAGAATGACATGGTACCATTTGTAAGGAAATGGTAAGATTTGGGAAAAAATTACATTACCTCAGGCCTAGAGAGACATATGTTTCATGGTTTCCCTCATATGTGGTACCTTGAATTAGATTATAAACTAGGAAGTAAACACATTGGGTGGTATGCAAGTGGTAACAGGTGTACTATCTGAGATATGGTAAATGCTAGGGAGAATTCAAATAGTGTAATTCCTTAGGCAAAATTAAAGCCCAACAAAATAAGCACCAGGAAGAGTGGGGGAGATGGAAAGGGGAAAGGAGAAGATGGAAAGAATGCAGTCAAGAAATCAATGTGTATTTTACAAATTAAGAAAAGGGAAAGAAATGGTGCTCTAGCTCAAAGAAGTAGAGCACTAGCCTTGACCTGAAGAGCTCAGAGATGGCACTCAGGCCCAGAGTTTAAGTACCTTAACTGAAAAATGAAAGAGAGAAAGAAGAAAGAAAGAAAGAAGAAAGGAAGAAAGGAAGGAAGGAAGGAAGGAAGGAAGGAAGGAAGGAAGGAAGGAAGGAAGGAAGGAAGGAAGGAAGGAAGGAAGGAGAAGAAAGGAAAGAAAGAGAAGAAAGGAAGGAAAGAAGAAGAGAAGGAAAGAGGAGAAAAAGAAAGAAAGATAGGAAGGAAGGAAGGAAAAGGGGAGTTGTGGGTTGGGGTAGTGGGTGAAAATGTTGAAAGGTTGACACTGGTTAAAATGCATGTATTCATAAACTACTTTGTTAAACAGCAACTCCTTTGTATTATTAAAGATAATTTTAAAAATAAAAAATTTAGAGCCTTAAAAAAGGAAGATCTGAAAAAAAAAAAAAAAAAAAAAAAAAAAAAGGAAGATCTGGACCGAATATGTCCGTGCTAGGGGAGCTCAATTGCTAATTTTCCATGCTGAGTATAACTTGGATTACTGTATTCCATAATATTGGGGAATGATTGATTACATATATCCCAAGAAGAGATGCTGTGCATAGATATATTCCACATAGAGAAAAGCTAGAGCTCATGTATTCCATGCTGTTGGATACTGAAGTTCAGGTATTTTATACTAAGGTTAGCTATATATGCTGTATTTCTTAAGAAAGAGCTGGGAAAAATTATAGGAAGAAAACAACTGTGGTATATATATCCCAAGTAAATATATGCTGGTATAAGTATATTAGCAGGGGTAGATTTATTTCATAATATGAAGAGCTAGAGTGCATAATTACCATGCTAAGAGACCAGAAGGCATATACCATGATGAGCTGAGCTAGTGTAAATGTATTAGAATGCTGATAGGTATATTCCATGCTGTATATAGTTATAGTGGATGTATTCCCTATGGAGGGAAGCTTTGGGTGGATGTATCCAAAGAGGAAAAGAAAAGATTGTATTTCATGTGAAAAAGAGGTGGAATGGATGTATTCCAGGTGAATGGAGTTTAGGTAGAAGCATTCCATTGTGAGATAAACAGGAGTATGTATATTTCATGTGGAGAAGAGATGGAAGAAATATATTCCTTGGAGAGGAGAGCTTTGTAATTAAATAACAATCCAAAGAGATCTGGGGTACATTTACACCCAGGAAGACAAAGCTGGAGCATGAACATTTTTATATGGCAAATTGTGGGCGAAGAAGTATTCCATGCTGAGGTAATCTAAAATAGAATTATTTCATGATAAAAGAAACTTATTGGATACATTCCATGCTGGTACAGCTCAATTTCTAATTTTCTATGCTGAGTAAGTCAGAAGTAACTGTATTCCATAATGATGAGAACTAGACTATGTATATTCAATGCATAGAGGAGTTGCATAGATATATCACTGAATATATCTGAGAAGATACAGGGCAGACGTTTTCCATGCTGTTGGGTGTTGAATTGAAGGCATCCTGTAATGAGGATAGCTGTGCCAGATGTATTCCATGTGGGGAATATCTGGGCCAGATAAATTCCATGAAGAAAACAGTAGTAGCATGCATATCTCATGCAAAAAATGGCTATGGTAGATGAATTACATGTTGAAGATAGAAGGTATAGAGATATTTAATAAGGAGAAAGGCTGGAGCATATACATTTCATAATAAAATGAGCTGGAGTAAATGTATTCCATAATGGGGAGAGCTGGAGTGGATAATTTCTATGCTAAGGAGAAGGTATATACCTTCTAAACTGAGCTGGTATAAATGTATTTCATAAATGGGAGGGCTGGGGCAGAAGTACTCTATGATCAGTAGAGCTGAAGTGTATGGATTTCCTGCTAAGAAGAAATTGAGTGGATGTATCCAACGAGGAAGAGTGCAAGAAAGATGGTACTCCATGTTGAGAAGAGGTGGAGAAGATATATTCCAGGCTGAGTAGAGCTGGAGTAGAAATATTCCATGATAAAAAAGAGTACGTATATTCCTTGTAGAGAAGAGATGGAAGCAATATATTCCCTAGAGACTAAATCTTGGCAAATAGCCAAGGAGACCTGGGGATACACCAGGATAACAAAGCTGCAGCATAAAGCTTTTCTGTAACTAATAGTAGAAAAATAAGTATTCCATGCTGAGGAGACCTTGAATAAAAATATTCCATGATAAAAAACATATGGATAAGGCAGGCGCCGGTGGCTTATGCCTGTAATCCTAGCTACTCAGGGGGCTGACATCTGAGGATTATGATTCAAAGCCAGCCCGGACAGAAAAGTTCCTGTGAGACTCTTATCTCCAATTAACCACTCAAAAACCGGAAATGGTGCTGTGGCTCAAGTGGTAGAGTGCTAGCCTTGAGCTGAAGAGCTCAGGGACAGCGTCCAAGCCCATAATTTCAGCCCCACTACTGACAAAAAACAAACAAACAAATAAAACCACATGGACAGAATATATTCCACGCTAAGGGGAGCTCAATTTTTTATTTTTCACATTGAGTAAAGCTTCGATAGCTGAATTCCATAATGAAGAAATCGGGACTATGTACATTCTATGTAGGGATAAGGTAGATAGATATGTTTCATGTTGAGAAGAGATAAGAGTGGATGTATTCCATGATTTTGATTGCTGACGTGTAGGTATTCTATATGAGTATAGATGTGCCAGATGTATTCCAGAGGGAAAGATCTGAGGCAGATAAATTTCAGGAAGAAAACAGCAGTGGCATGTATGTCCCACACAAAAGACCATTGTAGTAGGTGTTGAAAAAAGCCAGTGTAGAAATATTCCATATAGAGAATATCTGGAGAATATATATTCCATGATGATAGGAGCTGGAGTAGATTTATTCCTTATGGGAACACCTGGTGTAGATTTCCTTACCTAGGAGAAATGGAAAGATGTATACCATGATGAGCTGAGTGGGCACAAATATATATATTTCATGCAGAAGAATACTGAGGTCAATGTATTTCATGAGGGGTATAGTTCTAGTTGATGAATCATTTATGGAGGAATGCTCAATTGGAT